ACTGTGACGAACACCTCAATTTTTTTAAATTATATTTATTACCTGTAGGTACAGCTAAAATAATAATGTCACAATCCTACACACCGAGCCAAGTATAGGCATTGATGCGCCGGACAAGCGGGAGTTAACTACTTATCTTATTATGCGATGTCAGTAATCTCTGAGTTGGCGTGATGGTGTAAATGTATGTATGGGTAAAATAGTTATAAGTAAAACAATTACTTACTTTCTTAAACGATCAGCTCGGTCACTGTCTTCTAAAAGAACGCCTAAATTAGTGAGATTTTGTGTGGTGGTGGCGTACGATTCGTATGTGTCGATATGAAATAAGGTATCTTTGTTTGAACGACGACAGAGATCTCTGAAAAAAAAAAAGTGGAAAATTTATGAAGAAACGAGATTAAAAGAATAATTGAGGCCATCAGCGCAATAGTGGTGTAACCACATTTATTAATTTGTTCTACAATATTACTTGTATAATGCATAGGTCGCTGGTTCATATCGGGTTCGAAGGGCTAAAATGTATGAGCCACCTTACTCCATACATTGATTGTAGTGGTATTACGTTACCATCTGCCCACCAATACACTACATCAAGGAAAGATTTGCCACCATAACACCTATATTTCATACCAATATACTTTTACCATTTTCTTTGCAAGTCTTTCTCTGCGTACTGCCACTACAATCCATGTATGGAGTAAAGTGGCCCATACATTACTTTAAATGTTACTAAAGTACATAATTCTATACTTGGGTGCTATTTTCATGTATGAAAAATATTTAATCACTTTAAATTTAATAAATTTTCTATACGTGAAAATAGCATCCAATTAATAATAAATAAAAATAATTATGTACTTCAATAACATTAAAAGCATTATTGTAGAAAAAAATGTAATGTGGGTTACACCACTATTGCGCTGATGGCCTCAAATATTAGTGTGAAAAATAGTTCCATTACAAAAGAATAATTTATACATAAAGAAATGGTTAAAGGAAAATAGATGGAAAAACTGAAGTTAAACAAATAATTTATACTAAAGGCACAGACTACTTTAACAAATTATATTGCAATAATCTAAGTACAGAGTAAAAAAAAGTGACTTGAAAAGTTTGTGGAATTACATCTATTTGCCAAGTTTTATTGCAATCGGTTACTGCAAAATGCGCGAAACCAGATTCATCACTTAGTTTACCACCCTTAGAGGTGAAATATTTTCTTCAAATTTAAACGGGACTTCTACTGAGGTACCCTCTTTCCAACAAAAAGAATCATCGAAATCGGTTCATAAATTTATCCGGAGTTATCGCGTAACATACATAAAATATACAGCTGAATCGTGAACCTCCTCCATTTTTGAAATCGGTTAACAAATACAAATCTCCTACGTACTTGGATGACAAAAATTTGTTTGTAGTGACCTTCAATCGTATACACTTGGGTAGTGATCCCTTTAGCTCTTGTAGGTAGTTTCGATCTATGATATTTAGAGGTATATATTGTAAATGTAAACAATGTTTATTTACAAAGAGCAACACCAATAGTTTCTTACTCATATTTCTCAGGCAAATCTGCCCTACGAATGAGTAGTATATTTTAATAAAAAAAAGACCTATTTGAGATTCATTGAATTATGTCTATTTTAGAAGATTCCAAATCTTTTCCGATAGTCGGTTTCCGTCATGCCTGGTCACCATACAAGAAAACTTTGTAACATATAAAATATTTATTCTATCACTATACAAACTTATAGCAATTCATACTATAAAAATACCATGCACCTATTTGCAAACAAAAATAAGCTTTATTCTTCCTTCACCTTTCTAAAATAATAGCTATACACTTTTCGTTGGATTCTGTAACTACGCCAGCAGCGATCCAAGGTCGATTATTCAAACTCACTATTGAGAATTCGCTTTCTTGAGGACCTTTATTAACTGTGTTGTCTTGTAACGTATCTAAAAAAAAGGATGTGTTATTTAGTTATTATCAGACATAAAATATTTCGACTGAGGGACTTGAATCCAAGGTCATGAAATAAATTTAAAAAATGAACATTTTTGATCACAAAAACAGTTACTTACAAACTTTTTAACTTGTTTTTAAAACGGGGATCTTCCAAGGAAAACGAAAAAAAGGGGAATTTAAGTACTTATTACGTTTTGAATTACTTAATAATATACATACGTTTGTTACCTTTTTAAGCTGATGGCTATTTATTAAGCCAATACACAATAAATATATAATAAAATTAAAATATTACAGGTTTTTGTAGTTACAATTTTTACGCGAAGTAATTTTCCGTATGTATATTATGAGTTTCTTCATTATTTGTTATCTTTTCAAAATATGATAAATTAATATACATACAAAAAAGTGAATCCTATTTTAAGTATTAATTAATTAAATTTAATGCCGTTCGACAACCAAATAGTGACGTAGAAATGATTACAGAAAAGTGGGAAAGTACTCTCGAAGCACGAAATACGTATAACAACGCGATTTGATAGTTTCGAACGGACCCTTTTAACAGTTTATCTTTCGTTCAATTCAGTTTCTCAGTTTATTTTTTAGTTGGCGGACTTCCAGAGTATAAAAACGGCCGTAACTACAGATTTCGTGCTTCGAGAGTAGGGCCGCTGATGGGTAGACATACAATATCAATATTTTGCGGGTCATGGATGTGTGAGACTAGCGCAAGATCGTGGTGGGTGTTACACGAACTACGGAAGGCCCACACTCGGCAAGTCGGGCTGTGGAAAAAGATTACGAGACCCGATTTTGAAATTAATATCTAGCTAGGGCCATGTCTACGTGTATTCTACAAATTGAATTGCACTTTTTCCGTCGTACTTTCACAGCCCAATAACGACCTTCTAATATACTCTTATGAAAAACAGAAAGAAATAGTTACTTCTAAGTTTATACTGTTTATAATTAACTTTGTTAGCGTCTAAATTGATTCTGGTCTGGGTGTTATGGGTAGTGCCGTAAATTCAGTTGCTCTGGTACCCACAGTACAGAGAATTCCCCAGTTTGACACCAGCAGATTCCCGTTAAATTATAGAACTTCACAATTACACGGGCTCGAAAACACGTAATTTTCAACTTAAAAGGATGTTGTTACTGTATACATTTCACATGGCCTATATTGTAATGCTAGAATAATACAACATTTATTTATTTATGATGATCTCACCTATTTCCTTCAAAGATCGTTCAAATTTATGTAAATATCTGTCACCGGATTGCTCTACCGATTTCAGCTTCAGATTCGCAGCGCAAGTACCACGTTTTGATCTGTATAAATAATACAGTTTGTTGTAATATATGATGGTTACAAAGACGACTTGAAACTGCTGCGGAACGGAATTGAAGTGAATTTTTTGTATGAACTTTATGTCAATTGCACAACGTCTCGCGCAATCTTGGGAATTCCCGAAGCTACCGTATCGTATCTAGTTTGTACGTTACACCATTGACATAAAGTAAATTATGCTATTGTTACAAAAAATCGCTTCCATTCCGTTCTGCAGTAATGTAAATTGAGCCTAGTGCAACTACAATGAAACAGTGTCACATTTTACCGTTTTTCCACACTGTCAGTCCATAAAGCTTGTAACGGACTGGCTATCTTCTGTGCTCTTTCCTCCATCTTCAACAACGCAGTCCAGTGTAGGAAGTACTTAATATGTTCTGGAGATAAGTGGCCTAACGCTTGCCCTTGTAGTTTTGAGAGAGGATGTGATTCTGATACGGTTGGTCCATTGGTATGCCTGTTATACAGATGTTGTTAAACGATTACTGACGGTACTGTATTTCTTTAGAATGATGATACCCAAAGTAGTGCATGTTGACCCCCCAGGTGTTCACATCTACTAACAAGGGATCCATTGTCAGCGAAAAGAGAAGTGGGTACATGAGACGTTACTGAGGATCCACGACAATGGAATCCGTTTATGTAGGCCATGACCAACATTTTTACTTTCCATAAACGGAATAATCCACATTATACCATATAAATTACACATGAAACAAACATTTTACAACACACAAGGTATTCGGTAAGATAAATTATATGTATAAAATGTAACTGTGTTTTTTGTAGTTTCTCACTGTGGAGTTAGACTTATCAAAGTGAGTAGAACAGTGTATGTTCATATATTTTAAGTTGATGAACTTGTAAAAAATATATTATCCATATTAGAAAGGCAGGGGATCAACGCAAAACAGAAAACGCCCGTGGCCTACGAGACAAAAAGTTTGGTAACCTCTGCTCTACACTGTGTGTTTTACACTGTGGGTGTTAAATGAGTAAGTTCCGGTTTCGATTCCCGGTAGGATCAAATTGGGAAATGAACTTTTCGAAGGTTCTCGTGTCATGTTTTGGGTAGTGGCCTAGAGTGATTTCCTTTGCTCTGGCACTCATGGTTTGAGGCCAGGTAATTATTGTGATTGTCTGACACATTATTATTGTTGAATATAGTGAGATTCTTAAGAAAGACAGAAATATCCAGATATTTCTTTGCAAATACGAGTATATAATATTCAACGTAGGATTGTAAAACCGCTATAGTCCACAACACCAATAAATTAAACATTTGACAATTAAAACTTCACAGCTTTTAATAATATTTAAAACAACAACAGGTAGGTTATGTTATGCCTACACCACGACAACCATTTCATTATAAACAAAATAGGAATTTAAAATAAATTATTGCCATATGACAATTTAATACAAAATCTTCACTATAACAAACAATCCCTCACCAATAAATTAAATTAAATCTTAGGAGCAACTAATCCATTCATCATATCGAACGAATTCCCATCTGGCGCAACAGTTATTTCTCCAAATTCCGTCTTTACACAAAGCCAGCCTGCAGAATCCACACCCGAAATCTTCCCTTTAAATAACTCCGATCGATCTTTAACTTGTACTTTTATATCTTCGTTATCATGCAACCAATATTTGTAATACAATTTCAAGAAAGAATCCACATCTTTTTCTAAACAATCCAAAATAAACTCTAATTCAGAGCAGTAACATCCAAGAAAAGCTTCAACAGAAATTTCCGGTGAATTTGTACTCTTTTCCTTATTATATATCTTTATAATATCATTTACAGATACAGTAGGAACACTGTTAGAAATATTCACACCAGTACCAATGTTAACTATGATGTTATCTCCAATACAGTTTGCTGTGGTGATTACTCCACCGATTTTGACATCTCTGCCATAGTAAATATCATTAGGCCATTTAATTCGTATATTTAAGTCTTCATGATCCTTTCTTATAGCTACAACAGCTGCTAAGGCTGCTGCATGTTGAATTAAAGGTATTATAGGAGACATTTTCAACCACAATTGTACTGAAATAGCAGCTTGTCCAGGTGGTGTTATCCATGCATTTCCGCCTCTACCTTTACCAACCAATTGCCGTGTAGCTGTGACAGCAATTCCATGTGTTAACGTTTCTTTAATAATGTCCAAAGTTGTCGTTAATACTTCGGAATAAATTAACAAATGACCAAGATTATTTGATGTCAAGTTGTCATAGTATGCTTTCACATTAAAATTTTCAGGGTTGTCCTGTACATAGATAGGTATGAATGTTTTTGAAGGTTTTTCAATTGGTCTTTCATCATTTAGACACCATTGTATCGTCAAATCATGACACTTATGTTTCAAATTGTCTTCTTTACATAAGTTCCTAATCATTTTCATTTTATCATTAAAATCTCCCAAAAAATATCCTTTCGTATATTCAATATCTATTTCTACGTCTTTAATATGAAGATTTAAAACCTCTTTTAGTATTTTCGCAAATATACCGGTACATTCATTGGCTTGCTCTTCTAATAAAGACTCCAAATAAGCTTCAGAGAACAATGCTATGCCTTTATTAGTCAAATCTGTTACTTTGATAAGTGATGGAATGTTAGTGTTGTTTTTGGAAGCTAAAACTTTAACTTCCAATTCATTTCCACCTTGATCTTTATAGACAAACTTTTTTTCCATATGTTTACAGTCCATCACTTCATGTTTAACTTTAACACTGAATTTATCATATTTAAATTCAGCTATATCTATTCGATTTTCGTTTTTATAGAACGGTATAATAGTTTGTAATAAATTTGTATGAAGACCTAGTATTTTGCCACCTTGTAGAAAGTGTTCTTTTACTATAAAAGTATTCACATTGCCTGCTATAGTTAGCAGGGCAGAACGACCCTTCCATGCTCCTTTTTCTAAAGTTTCTTTGCTTATCTTATAAATAGTATATCTATCTCTATCTAAAACTTCCTTAAATATTGATTCCAAGCTATTTTCACAATCTCTGTCATCCGAATTTATCAATATATTTGTTAATGTGCTCATTCTTAGATTTTTTACTTTGTCATTCAATATTATCTTGGTTTCATTCGGTATTATACTCTTTTCAGTTTTTGAAGTTGTTGAATATGTATTAATGTCCAATTTTGATACAATTATCCTTCCACTTTTTTGAAAAACTTGTATTATGTTCCATTTTATAACTCCCATGTATATTAACCTAAGAACTTGCCAACATACTTAATATTTGAAAGAATAAATTTGTATCTACAGTGATGTTATCATTTTCCTTTTAATATAATTTCAAACACTCATATGCTATATTTTTAAACTTGTTTACATTATGTATAGTATGTACATGCCGCAAAAATAACCTCTAACTAAAGCAAAAACATCAATGAGTAGGCACTGTCTTGTAAACCATTGACGTTTCTTTATCTTTAAGCGGCTGCATTGCTTTCTCAAAAGACGCAAAGAATTTAAAAGCAGCTGCAATACTGACCATGACAGTAAACAATTTCTACATACGCAGTATTTTTTTTAATGATGTAGTTTACGATTTATAAATGTACACTCTACACTAATGTGTTTCTATCGGCATAAAATTGCCGAACTGTTTGATGCATTTTATTCAAATCAATTATTTAACAAAATTTGAAAAATGTAATTCACAGCATAGTTAATGTACATAATATATTAATTTACTGCTATATAAGGGCCTATTAAGATGTTTTGACCCAAATAAAAACTACACACATCAAAAGTGTCTAGGGATCAAGTGAATATTTTTGAAATAAAAATTATTTAAGCAATATTTACCAAATCCAGTCTTCCAGGACGACTTCTTACTTTAATGCTTATGTTTTATTTAACCGCTTACCTCTATATAATTAATTAAAATAAACTAAAATTGATGTTTTTGCAAATTGTGGGAAAAAACTCAAATTAACGGCGTCAATTAAATGACAAAAAAATGGCGAAAATGATGATTTTGCTCATTTTTATTGTAAAGATAAGAAAATTAATAATCTGTATTTCCACCATTAACACGAATCACACAATTACAGCGATTTGGCATGCTTAAGATGAGTTCATCAAAATCACTTTGAGGAATGGCCGCCCATGTGTTTTGTAACAAGTCAAAATATTGTTGTAGAGTATGTACGGTATGAATACTTGGCACAGCTCTTCTTTGAAGCATATCCCATGCGTGCTCAATTGGATTGAGGTCTGGCGATTAGCAGGCCACGGCAGAACGTTGATACGAGCTTCGGCAAGAATGCGTGTTACGACTCTAGCCGTGTGTGGACGTGCGTTGTCATGCATTAGTTGAAATGAATCACCCAACTGGCCTCGCAAAGGGATGATAACATCTGAAACAATCCTCTCTGCGTAAACTTGAGCATTGAGGTTACCCCTGATCCAAATGAGATCGGTTCTTCCGCCGATCCAAATACCGGCCCATATCATTATTGTTCCCCCACCATATGGATGAACTTCCTGACAATATCTCAAACGTTCATGACGTCCAGATGTTCTCCAAACTCGAGTACGTCTTGTATCCGGTCTCATACCGAAGCGGGATTCATCCGAAAAGCACACATAGCGCCAGTCTTCTTCCTCCCAGTTTCTGTATTCGCGAGCCCATCGTAAACGGGTCCTGCGATTGCAGGGTGCAATAGGTGGAACTCTGAGCGGCCTTCGGGATCGCAGACCCACTTCACGTAAACGATTTCGGATTGTTTGATCGCTTATTAGCAAGCCTGAGGAGCTGTGGAGCCTCGTAACCAACATCATGGCGGTCATGGTACGATTCCGTCGAGCAGTATTTTGGATACACCGGTCCTGTCTGCGAGTCGTGATGCGAGATCGTCCTCCATGTCGCTCGGCCACGCTGCCAGTCATGCGATAGCGCGTCCAGAGGCGACTTATGACGCTCTGTGTAGTGTTAAGAGTGAAAGCCACAGCACGTTGCCTGGAACCAGCGTCCAACATTCCGGCGGCTCGCATCATCACTTCTCGGGTTAAATGATGTCGTCTCTCCATAATAATGTAAATTGTTTCGGTTCCGATGCAGATATTGTAATGATTTTGTCAAAACGCTATAACTCATTTTTATACAAAACCACATTGACAATCGATTTTCTTCTTATTATCGAATTTTAAACAATATTCCTTATTTAAATGTTAAAACTCACTAAAAAGTATCAATAGCGATACAAAAAAGTTAATATAATTAACCCTAATTGCAGCAATACTCTTAAACGGACTTGATCCCTAGACACTTTTGACGTGTGTACTTTCGAGCTTACTTAATTCTCGACTGCGAGAAAACTTACATAATTAAAATTCATTTTTAATATTTTTTCCCAAAATTATATGTACCTACATGAAACGCAAACATGTCGGAAATTAAACTATTTTTTCGGGTCTAAATCGCGTAAAGGTAAAAAAAACAAATTAAGTTATAAATAGAACAGATATAGTTTCATTTCCAATGGCTACCACGAAAGCCTAAGAACTCGATTTTTGCGTGTCGACAAATAATCTTGGATTCGTCAATATTCAATACTAAAGTTTCTTACCAGAGATGCAATGAGCAGATGGTGAGATAGGGACACTTTGAACAAGCGTTCTCATGATGGACAGGCTCGGGTAGCTTCTGTTGTAGTAAACATGACGCATCCTCTATGTCGGTTAGCTGCTCTGTAATTGTAATTGCAGCCAATAGGAATTCTGATGTGTTACACCAAAAACAAATTCAAAATAAGTAAGACCCCTGCCCCATACATACACGCATTCTAATACGTTACACAAACCCACTAAAGTTATGAAATCTGAATAATACTCTACCAGGGGTAACATCTTCTGGTCCAACAGCGAGGTACTGTACGAGTTGATTTCGTAACATTACGAGATCGCGTCTTTCGGGATACCCGCAACTCACTTCTCGAAGATCAATTCGGTCCCTTAACAAAAAGAACTTATTGATATAAAACTAGGAAACAGCAATACAAAAAAAAGTCTTGACTATAGAATATTCTAGTAAAAGTAGGTGTAGTTAGGTGCCTTACACATTACAGTACATTCCATATCATTACCTAAGACCATAAACGAATCTATCCACCAAGGTATTAATGGAGTCACCTAGATCCCACAGACGGCAGTCATCACTACGAAGTCAGTAAAGCTGTTAACAATTGAACTGCATGCAGTCGAGACTTCAACTGCGAGTAGTCGAGAGTGCAACTGTGTGAGTGAAGGGAACATCGTTCGTTGTCGTCATCAAAAATATCCGAGAATGAGAAGCGGAAATTGACATTCATAACGGGATACATGATTTCTTTTTTGTCTGAAATATCTTGATCTTTAGTAGTAACGGCAAAAGGTAATAATTATTTGAGGGTTTCATGAACTTAATGGTAAAACAAAAACACAATTGGTGAAACTTTTCTCGACGAATTTAATTCACATTTCCACAGTTTTCTGTAATGGCATTTTTGTTTACATTTTTGATCGCATATTTCATCGCAGGGTGTAGTCGGATTACGTGCATAAACGTTAGTTTCTCGACGAATTAAAACTGAGGATTTCGATAATGATACTTCGGGGAAGGAAGTGCGTAAATATAAACCTACAAAGTTTACAATGGGAATGAAAATCACCGATTTATTATTTTTATAACTATGTTTACGTAAAGAAACCATTTTTGGCGAATATCTAAATTTGATACGTAGACCGAAGAAGCATGATAATTTTGTCCAACAACATCATTAACTAATTTTTTATCAAATTGGCTTGTTTCTTCTCCGAAGTATCGATATGTTCATAGTCAGCTTTTAGAATCAATTATCGGATACGGTGATAAGCTAACTTGTAGATTCGTCCATCAAATACGCGGAGCTCCTGAAAAAGGTAAGCGGATCGCATGAAGTCAGTCTCGACTGCATGCCGTTGTACGTATATATCAACTTTGCGCATGCAGTCCGTCTAGTAGCAGTCTATAGGAGGGTAGATCGATTATATCCGATCTCTCACTAACAGAGGTGTACAAAATATCTCATGAAAAGTATATTGGAATGCAATCAATCACAGAAGTTGCTTAGCGTTTTTTTGTTGAAATATGGAAGTACCTACTGTTTTCTATATGTGCGTTCCGATAAACGAAGTAATTTATTGAAAGCAAAGGTCAGTGTAGTTTACAAATCCCGTTCCGTTGCGGTTTTTTGATGAGACGTCAGTAATATTTAGTGATTTCAAAATACTCAAAAGTACAGAAACACAAAACACATTAAATATTCAAAGTATTTTAGATAGTGTGTGTTGTGTATGTCGTATGAATATTCCTAAAACTTATATATTTGAGCTCTGCTGTTAACACTGAATTCTCGCATCGTGGTCGTCTAGTGACCATGATGCATTGGACTTATAATTTTTTACTTATTTTTTAAAATTCATTGTTTTAAACACGATACATAGTAAACAAAACAACAACGCACAGACTCATAGCCCCGTCCTAGGGAAACCCAGTATCCATGGATACACACACATAGGTAGACAACCACAAATTACACCCAAACTCACGAGATAAAAATGTAGGCCATACAAATATTTGTCCCGGTTCGGAAAGGCTCGTAAGGCTCCACCACTGAGGGAGTTGAACATATTTAAATATACTAATTACATACAATTATCAACATCGAATTAAACAATTAAATCATAAACACACTGCCATACGTGACACATCACGTCATGTATTTTTTATGGTTCTGTGATATGCCGTAATTGGCAATATATACCGATATAATGTAATTTATTTTTGTTACAAATGTATACTGTTGGATATCTTTTATTAAATAAATAAATACTTGTAAAAGCGACTTACCTTCCTCCCAGTCCGGGTCTTAAAGTTTTGTTCCTTAGTTGTTTTTAAAACCAAAATCAGGACAATCGACAACCGCAATTAAAGTTCCTGTAGTAACTAAAAGCTTACTTGAGATAGAGCAACAACCCTCTCTGTAGGGCCGTGGTCGGGTCTTCCCCACGTTGCAAACTCAGCATCATACCATACAGAACTAGCTGTCCTCTATGTTCTGCCGATACTGATGCTTTACCGCTTTTTAGCTCTAGGGGTATTATGGAGCGTTGGCGACCTATGAAAATAGAATTGATCCCTTTTTCTGATTTTCAAATACGTTAGTAAATACTACCAACTGAGGAAGTGGTAACTTAGTTATAATTTTCCCATAATACTACAGGTAGTAAGACATGATAGTAAGATAAAGAATAAAGGTTCAAACCGATTAGAATTCTGCTTCCATGAATGTCAGCGGCTGACACCGAAAACTAAGAAACAACTCAAAGTTATTAGAAGCTACTCGATAGAACGAATTAACAAATCAGTCCGTAATTTGTATCAGCCCTTTACAATACATACACTAATGATTTAAACATGAATTAATGATAAGCGTACATTGGTGTCCTTCTCAGAAGGTATTTTTATGCGGCCCGGTTTAGCCTATATTCATTCATATTCTTACGAATATATTCGTTTGATCTACTTAATAGACGATAACCCTCGCTCCAACTATAGTACGGTCGAGGGCCATCATCATCATCTCCAATCCGCCAAATTAGACCAGCTTGACAGAGACTGGTTCACCAGGAGGTGACTGACTCCCTAGGCGTTGCCGACGGCAGCAGCGGGTGATTTTTGGCTCGAATATATTTTATACGTTACAAAATTGACCATAAAGTTCATTATGCTATGTACAATATTGTTAAAAGAATTCGCTTCCGTTCCGTTACGCCGCAATATAAATTGAGCCTAGTTGAATTCACATTGACTATTTAAAATTTTACATTTAGGTATGTATGTACTATACAATCAGAGGTATTGTGCGATTATAAATAACAAAGAAAAGTCAATCACCTTGTCTGTCATGTACCGTAACTTGTAGTGTAGCGTCAATCTTTCCCTTCAAACCTAATTGAGGGCAGCACAAGTTCTCTTCTATATCCAGTACTTTGTCTATATGACCCATCCATTGATTTTTTTGTGACAACTTAAAATAGAAAAATAATACGGCTTACTTTTTAAACTTTACTTACTAAACTTAAAAGTACTTATAAATAATAATAATAAATGACTTGATTTAAAAAAAAAAACATTTTTTCTATTAAACTAGATATCTGTGAATGTTGGTAGGTCAATGCCTGTGGAAGGTAAATTCCACTATTCTTTGAATGTAGCAAACAATGTTTGTGTTTCACTACACACAAACAATGGCTTCCCAGCATAGTGGGCTATTTCTACTGTGCCTAATTTATCAGGAAGATAAAAAAAAACCTGAGGCGTATACCTAAAACCTGACTAGCATAGCCGATGTTGTCACGTTATTATTTTAACCAATGACAAGCTCGGTGTATTATTTATGCACAATCATTTTAAAATGACTTTTTTTCAATTTTCCCTGGTTTAAACATAAGTCAAAAAGCTACTGAGAGATTGAAAAACCGAGAACAAAAAATATTTTGCGCATTTTCTTATTCATTTGTATAATAGAAGTCCATTTTGGTCTGTTGTACTACTATTGAAAAGCAGCAATGGAGTTCATCTTAGAGGATGGAAAAATAGTGTAAGGAGTCCATGGATATGCATTTCATGGCTACTTACTAGAGAATGCCAAAAAAAACTAAATAAGAAAAACATTGTAGAGGATGTGAGAAAATGTTCTTACCTTCTTACCTATTTCTTAGTCTAGTTAGTTAGTAGTTTTCTTAGTCTTACCTTCCCTACAGGAGGTTTAGCAACATAATACTGCATAAAGTCCGCCAACGGTGCAATATACGAAAGCATATTCACTCTCGCCTCATCCTCAGACAAACCAGCGTCATATAACATCTGTATGGACTCTTTTAATATTTTGTCAGCTTCTTTTCGAAGCGGGGTGATTTCAAGAATATTTTGCGTGAGAGCTCTTTGTACTAAGTTGTGTATTAATATACCCATTGTCATCTGAAATAGAAAATTCGATGTCACTATATGGACCGACAAGTAAATAGTCAAAATTTGACCTAAATCACCTCTTTAATGAAGTTCGTAATAAGGCAGCGGTATTGACTAGGACCTACAAGACTCTGTTTCGAGTGGACTCATGCCTTGCAGTGGGATACAGGGAACAGGATGCCTAGGTTTCACCCAAGTCTCATAATTTTGTACAGTTTCGCCCATAAGTACAGCATGGCTACCACAACAGGGCGCGTCTTGCGCGAGATTTCGCTATTCTCGCGCTTTACTTCGCTCTCGCGCAAGTCGCGCCTTGTAGTGCTAGCCCTATAGTAGATCAGATAACCACCAGATCATCACGAGAACGTACAATTTTAATATATAAGTTATTGTATTAATTTAGTTATAAGCGGTTAAATTTAAATATTCAACTATTGTTCCTTTTTGGAATGCATAACAAAATTCTAAACACTTACAGCAGTATTAGCTGAATCAAGACCCCTCCATCTTTCCTGCAATATAGCCTTTCTTTTACAAAACACGCCGCCGACGACACTGGTGGACGACACCAGGTAGTCTGGTCGTAAAGTTATCAGACCGGAGGTGTTGTTCACGCAGAATTGACCTAATGAGTCTCGTTTTGCCAGAATGCTGACTGTCTCACCAGTGGCGAGGGGTGTATCTAGCCTGCAAGTTAATTCCTTATGAAAATTTTAACGAAAGCCTACTTGATTGTTATTGAATATCATGATGATTATTACTGATACAAAGAACCATATATAAATCTTCATTAAATTCGCACAGATGGCGATACAGCAAAAAAGTTATTAAAAACCAAAAACAAAGCTCAGAAAAATTCGTAATGTCTGCTGGTTCGTTCCGTAGCTCAGTTCGGAGAGCATCAGCCACAGTATGGTGAAGGCACTTGGAAGGTCAGGAAAGTATTTTTAAAGTAATTTAAGACATGGAGATATTTTTACGTGAAGTTAACAGGGACAAAGTATATAATTGTAACTGGTTAAAGGAATAAAAAATCTGACATTATAAATATGGCAAAAAAAAATGAGAAGGATTTTACAAACTATTTTCTACTCTTGTAAATTATTCTTACCATATGCCTTCTACAAAGCAAGTAGCCTTATTGTTATTAGTGTTTTGGAGTTTCAGTTCCAGTCTGGTAGCTTGTCTCACGACAGATGTTATTTCACAGCGCTGTATAACAGACAGATCTAGATCTTGTGGTCCCTGTAAAAGATAAAAGGAAATAATAAAAATAAATTTCATGGTATAAAATAACCCAGGGCATTAGAACTAAAAATTGTGGGACAAAATCTTAACAAAGTTTAAGTTAAGAAGTGACATAGTTTATTATGATTTTTAATAAAATGTCTAAAAATGCATGCTTCAATAAATAAACTATTTGTAAAATTTTCCAAGTTTATTACTTTGTTTCCTTTTTGCTGAGTACAAAACTCCTTAAATGTTATTTATTGACAGCTGCAATGACTGCAAATGTAAAAACAATCCAGGGTCTGGAGAGATTTTCTTATTAATAAAAGTACTTAATTTAGTCATTTGTTCCTAATTGTTAATTTGTAATAAACACCTCAGCAACATCCTCCAATTCCCAGTCATCTCCAAACTGCTGACTCAAAGAGGGACTCTGCACCTCTGTGACATCTAGGGACTTGACAGTGGACCCACTCTTTGAGGGTGAGAGCTCATCATGATTCAAATACTGCTTCTCTGGAGTCTTAGATATTGGTATTGTGAGATGGTCTGCAAATACATAAAATTATGATGTGTATTTATTTGTTTTTAAGCAAGCCAACACTTTGGACCATTTGGGATCTCCCATGGTCATGGCTGGCTAAGATGGTAAAGTCATCAACCAGTTAAGTCTAATGTTAATACAAAGCACACTACTGAAATATTGGTTTATTTGAAAGAAACAAATATATGCAATTTAAATCTAAAACAATTGTTTCATTTCCAATGTGTAACAATTGTGAAAACCTAAAAACTTGTTATAATATGTATTATTTAACACATAAGTGTAAGACGTATTTATGCCCCACTGATAATCTGCAATGCCCACCTTTTTTTTGTTTGTGGACCAGTTAATCAATTTAAACGTCAACTCCATTTACCAGCATAATACCGTAGTATACAAATATTATAACTTCATTCATACTCAGCAGTGAGACATAATAATGACAGGCTCGTGAGGTTACCAGCGCTATACAATGCGAGTATATGCATATGTACATGGCACACGGCTGGCGCACACACATACAAACCGCACTGCTACATTTGCATAGAGTTACCATACTTATCTGATTATATTTTGACAATACTCTGAGGTCCAATATAGAGGCTATTGTAGCACAGTTTGGTTAGATTATACTATTTTATATTCGGAACTGTATAAAAATAGAATGTTATTGTGAAAGGAACATTGTGAGAGTTCTGGACAAATCTTAAAACTGAATGCTCACAGTAAATCTTTAATTATGATTATATTCCTCATTTATTATTAAATTGTACCTCTCACACTGCTATAACCAAGGCTACACTCCCACAATATTATCACCCTAGAGACTGCCTAGAGTGCTGAGTCAAATGATGGAGCAACCAGAGTAAATTTAGAAACTATTGTTTTCAAGGTTGATTTGTCCTTTAAAAATAAGAGCTTAAAGGCAACAATGCAGTATTATAAAAGTTATTTTTTTACGAATGACATGCACAACTGTTTTACCTTTATCAGGATTTTTCTGGGTAGTCACACTCTTGTTCATTTCAATAAAACCATTTTGAAAATGATCATGAAATTGTAAAACTTTTCTAGGTGTTTTCATTCTCGTATTTACAAGACTTCCATTAACATTAATTAATTTATCATTATTGTCAAATTTACTAGTGAATTTATCCATCTCTAATACATCATCCATACTCATTTGTGTTAGTGGAGGAGACCAATTACTTTTATTTTCAGAAATACCATCACTTTCTTTTGTTTTTATACCACCTCCCTTTAAGTTGCTATATTTTGTAGGTGATCCACTGGTGTTATAACTATTTTCTTTCTGAACTGTAATTTTCAATGGTGACAATTTTTTGAAATTGTGACCAAGTTTGAGTTTTTTTGGTGTGTATAAACCATTTCTATCAGTATACAAGGTATTGGTACTATTAGTGGAACATGGTTCGTCAGTTCTATCAATATTTTGTGACTGTACTGGGGACAATTCTTTCCGTTTCGCCGATTTCTCTCCATGATTTTCCAATTGAGATAAACCACATGTAATAGATTTTTGCTGCTTTTGGGAAAAGAATTGAGTAATCGACCTTTGATTTTTTGGCGCCGTTGCTTTTCCGGCCTGAAAATAATGAAAAAACAATGAGTTTTACGAAAATACGTTGCTATACAAAAACTATAATGTTTTAGTTGGAGTACTTATTGAAAATAACCTTTTTCAGGCTTAAGGCTTTCGGCATGATTGATTCACATTACTTAACATTAACGCAAATTCTTAATTATTAAGAAAGTAAATTAATTACGAAAACACGATAAATAAACGTTTGACAAACGCAAACAAATTCCCGCGCTTCATTTTGACTCGTGTATGAGTAGGTATTGAGTGACTCTCACGTGACACTGACTGTTGACATTGACATTAGAGTGAACGATACGGTTGGGTAATTTTAAGAATTTCAAATAGTGGAATTGACTTACAAATAAAAAATTTAGAAAAATTTTTAAAATTGGAAAAATATAATGTAGGAGGCGCTCATTTTTTTATTCATAATTTTGGCTTGGATACAAGTCCTTTGAGCCAAGTCTTCGTTTAATTATGTTTCTGTAAATATGGCCGCCACAAAGAGGATAGGCAATTTGAGGCGGCGTGTTTGGATTGACTCGGGATTCCTTAGAACGGGCCGATACGGGTATTTTAGTTCGAGATTCGTATAATTTCGCGTTTTAGTCGTCAATTAAGGTACAATAGCAGTATCCTATTCCACTATAAACTAGATTTCACAAAATAATTGAAAGTTAAAATAAAAACGACACTTTCCCTCCAAAAGGCCCAGAGCGAATCTGTGGCCACTTAATACAAAAACCACAACAACAGCGAAGAAACCACAGACTACTAGTCACAGACTACTTAGTGAACTACGTTCTACTAGTGAACTACGTTGAAACCTCCAATAGCCACTCCACCACCACTTGATGTTGGCTCCATCGTTTTCGTTCAGTAATTTGAACTTTTGACAGGTGTCAACGTCAAATGTAGTTAAAAAAGGAAAAATTTTGGAAAAACATTCGGAAAAATATTCATCTTTCTGAAAAATATGATTTTTTCAAAATAGAAATTTTTCCCTGGCCAAACACTCGCTTTCAAAATATTCAGTAACACTGGCGATTCTAGTGTCACAAAAAGGTGACGACTATATTGGTTTGTGCTGGCGCCACAATTTTCATAATATTTTAAAGCCGATCTTGAATATTTCAAAAATGCATTAAAAAAATCATAACTCGATAACTAAAAAATCACGGAACATACATAAGGGTCATTCGGATACCCCTCAGTGTGAGGCACCTAATTTTGTTATTGTTGTCACTATCCCGACCACCTTTCAAAAAGTAAAAAGGAAGAATTACCAAGACTTGGCTGTATGGTTTCAAACCTCTGTCTTTCACTTTACGGAATGATTCATTCATGAATAACTATAAAAAAAAAAAAAAATTCGCTCTGGACCTTTTGGAGGGAAAAGTGTCGTTTTTATTTTGACTTTCAATTATTTTGTGAAATCTAGTTTAAAGTGGAATAGGATAGTGCTATCGTGCCTTAATCGAAGATTAAAACGCGAAATTATACGAAATTCGAACTAAAATACCCGTATCGGCCCGTTTTAAGGAATCCCGACTCAATCTAAGCACGCCGCCTCAAATTGCCTATCCTCTTTGTGGCGGCCATATTTACAGAAACATAATTAAACTTCATATTTAGGCTAATGGCTTTGCCAAAGCCTTAATAAATTAAAAAAAAAATATAAAAAAAAACAACTGTGTTGTTTTCAGTTTTGCTCATGTTTTGCTTTTGAGCACTTTTTGAAGTGAGTGAGGTTAACTTTCGTGTTATACATTCGCCCCAGATTTTTAAATATAAGAACTTGTTGATATAATATGTCTAAAAGACCTGAGCATCAAGCACCACCAGAAGTTGTAAGTTTTAACATTTTACTACAACTTTGATTTTGTGAAAGTACTCTTTTACTAAAACTAATTTCTATTCATAGTTCTACAATGAAGATGAAGCAAGAAAATACACACAAAAGTAAGTTTCTTCTAGGACTATATCTAGTGTCGTTTAATATCATTTATTTTTGCATTTACAGGAGACTTACTGTATTGGTTTGAAAATTTTGGAGTAATGTGTCGTGAAAGTGGGTGTTACGTATTTGCACTTGTTCGAAAAGTTATATTATAAAGAATAAGTTATATTAGTTCCCTATGAAAGTTTTAAGAATCTCAAATGTATTTCGTTTCATTATAGTTCTCGCATCATAGAGATCCAAGGACAAATGACAGAGAGATGTTTAGAGCTATTGTTACTACCTGAAGACACACCATGCTTATTACTGGATGTTGGTTGTGGGTCTGGGCTGTCTGGCACTGTTCTAGAAGAGAATGGACACATGTGGATTGGAATGGACATATCTCCATCTATGCTTGGTATGGAGGGCTTCAAGAACCTTGTAGTACAAGCCTTGTATTGCCTATTTTTAAATTAGAAAACATTAACGTTATGCTAACTCGTCACGCGTCTGAGAGGCCTGAGTTTTCATCCACCTTCTTAAATTTATAATAAAAATATTCCAATTTATAAAAAAATTAAAAATTGCTTGGTCACCCTGCGCCTCTGCGTTGCATGACAGGTTAATGTAACTATATGTATAGTGGTTGTTATATGAATGTCACCAACAAATTGTGGATCTAGTTTTCTAAATAAATACAAATTTTATTTATTTATCAAGTACTTTCCTGATTTAATATAATTTTATTAAATTCATTATTCACAATATTTTTAAATGAAATACTTACTTGGTACTTGGTGTAACGAGCTGGTGTCCTCAACTTGACGTCAAGGTGCCTATTTTGCATGTAAATTAAATATATGATTTTAGATGTAGCAGTAGAACGTGAAACAGAGGGAGATCTAATCCTCTCAGATATGGGACAAGGTGTACCATTTAAAGCAGGATGTTTTGATGGTGCTATATCAGTGTCTGCCGTACAGTGGTTGTTTAATGCAGATAAAAAATCACATCAGCCAATTAAGAGATTGTACAAGTTCTTTAGTACTTTGTATGCTGCTTTGGTAAGCCTTATTGACTCAAATGTCTTAAATTGCAAGTTACAAATTAGTGAAATTATAAATTGCAATTTTGTGAAGGTTTGTAAGTTTTAAAATTATTTACAGTCAAGATCGGCAAGAGCAGTATTCCAGTTTTACCCTGAAAATGACAATCAGATAGAGTTGTTAACATCACAGGCAATGAAGGCAGGTTTTTATGGAGGTGTAGTGGTAGACTACCCTAATTCTGCCAAGGCCAAGAAGTTCTTTTTAGTGCTTATGACTGGGGGTTCCGCTCCACTGCCAAATGCACTAGGTAAATCTGTAATCGATGACGTTGTAGAGAACTCCGGGAGCATAAAAAAAAAGTAAAAAAGTAGTAGTAGTTTCCTAACAAGGTGCAAATTTCTACAGGTACAGATGAATCTGATACCCGTCTACAAGTAAAATACACAAGAAGGGAAGCAACAAGAGGGGCTAGAGGAAAACCATTGAAGAACACAAAAGCCTGGCTTTTGGAAAAAAAGGAAAGGAGACGAAAACAAGGCAAAGAGGTTAGGCCAGACACCAAATACACAGGGCGTAAACGAAGTGGGCGTTTTTGAAGAAAAGGCAAAACAAGATCTAAGAATATATATTGTAAATTATCTACTAAGATTATAACAAATTTTCACGCTTTTGTTATCTTTTCACTATATATTTCCAGACTGTATCAACTCCATGTCCTATAGTTTCTGTAGGTACCATATTTGGCAATGGAAATCTGCAGGCTACTACTACAGTATCATGATTTGCTTCTTTGAGTAGTTTCTTTTCAAATTCACTCATCATTTGTTGTACCCCAAAAATTACTATATTCTCATAGGGTTTCAAATCAAATGTCCACAAGTTCTTTCTGTAAAATTTCGAGTCCCGACATTTTGGATCTAATAAAGCTGCTATTCGTGAATAATATACAAGCCAAGGGTTTAATTCAACTCCGTCCGATTTGAATCCAAGTTTCGCAGCGGTGAACACTATTCTTCCATCACCTGACCCGACGTCGAGTAGTCTCCCTGATCGACCCATTAATGCTTTTGTAACGCCTAACAACTGCTCTGTGGTAGCAGGAACGTACGGCAAGCAAAATTTTCTAAAGGCAGGGGTCACGAATGGTACACAAACGATGCTAACGCCCACTGCCAAGCCACCTGTGCCATAAATCAAAAATTTTCCCACTGGTGAAAGCTTATTAGAGCGTTTTGATTCCATATTTTGGAGTAGTTCCATAATGTATTTTTCTTTCTTCTTTTAAATGCTATGCAACATCAAGTAAGAATGACTATGAACGGAAGTTTTATTTTTCTCTCGCATTCTGCAAGTTAGAAGGAACCTATTCGTAGAGCTGACCACAGATTATATGTACTAGTCAGAGCTGACGGTGAATGTCAAAAACAGCTGTTCAACGAACAATATTTTTGGCCTAGATACATTTTTATTAATAATTTTGGCTTGGATACAAGTCCTTTGAGCCATGTCTTCATTTAATTATGTTTCTGTAAATATGGCCGCCACAAAGAGGATAAGCAATTTGAGGCGGCGGCGCCGGGCTTGAATTGACTCGGGATTCCTTAGAACGGGCCGATACGGGTATTTTAGTTCGAGATTCGTATAATTTCGCGTTTTAATCTTCGATTGAGGGACAATAGCAAAATAATTGATAGTCAAAATTAAAACGACACTTTTCCCTCCAAAAGGTCCAGAGCGAATCCTCCTGGTAAATATAAATTGCCAATTTATTGCCATTGTAGGTTGAAAAAAAAGGAAGTTCTTGTTCTCGTGGTTGGCTGGATTGTAAAAAAATAGTGACCGATTGATTGTCTAGGTCGTATTCCAGAATTCTACTCAATGCTCAAGTCAGGACTTGAGTGTGATTTGAAGCACTGGAAATAAGATCCTAATGGCAAGGACTTGAGTATGATTTCTAGTGCTAAATCATACTTAGTCCAGGGGGTCTACTCTCGATCTCTGTCCGACATCCATCCGAAACAATTACTGCCAAATAAGCAATACTAATAAAATTAATAATAAAAAAATATTTACCAGGATGGAAAGATATTTACATATGGCAACCGCTTTCAATTTGCTGTCAAAGTTTTTTAGATTCACATACCGGCTGTAACATATTTCGCATTAATTCGTTAGAGAAGTGTATTAATTTCATCAAAATGACAGCTTTCGAAGAGTTCGGAGTGCTTTCTGAATTAGGAAAAGCAATTGAAGAAATGGACTGGACGTTACCAACCGATGTTCAAGCCGAAGCTATACCCTTAATCCTCGGTGGTGGAGACGTGCTTATGGCTGCTGAAACTGGTAGTGGGAAGACTGGAGCGTTCTGCTTACCAATTCTCCAGATAGTATGGGAAACTTTAAAAGATATACAAGAAGGAAAAACTAGTAAAGTAATACAGCAAACGTCTTCCGAATGGACGATGTCGTTCTTCGATCGTACAGACGCTTTAGCGGTGACGCCAGATGGCTTGAGGTGCCAGTCGCGTGATCAGCAAGGCTGGCATGGTTGCAGGGCCACAAAGGGTGTGCACACCAAGGGAGCTTATTATTATGAAGCTACTGTAACTGATGAAGGACTGTGTAGAGTTGGTTGGGCTACGCAGGCAGTAAGTTGTAGTTTATAGAATAGAATAGAAAAACACTTTATGAAACGCCATAACACAAAATTACAAAATTGACATTAATAATACAAACAAAACGAAATAAATAAAATTAAAAAATACAAAAACAATAAAGCAACATAAAATAAGACAGACAAAAAGCAATAAACAAAATATAACAACTATTACAATTTGTTCTGTCATTTGTGTAGCTATGGTGTATAACGCACACACTCAACATAGCCCCGCACTAGGGAAACCCTGTGTCGCGGGTGCCATGGACACACACATAGACAACCACAAATTACACCCAAACTCACGAGAGAAATAAATGTAGGTCATACAAATATTTCTCTCGGCCCGGGAATCGAACCTGGGACCTCTGCGTGGCAGTCTGGCATGGTAACCGTTCGGCCACTGAGGTAGTTATGTGTGTGCTAAAGGACCTCATACAGCTTAATTTGACTATGGTGCTGGTTTTCAATGAGCCCTAATCTGCAATGAGATGGCTGTGTGTGTTGCAAAATTTAAAAATACAAGTTTACTGGAACAAATCTTTTGTTAAAATAATTACCAAGTTTGTTTACACAAATTATTAGTGTTTTCAGTAGTAGTTGAAAAATATACATATTTAGCATGTTTTTAAATTAGCCGTAGTATTTTGCCATAGTTTTTTTTTTTTAATATATAATAGACACATGCTTGGCCATAACTCACTTAAAACAAAAACATTATTTTACTTATTTCAGAAAGTTTGCATATTAGATAGGTTTTGTATACTTATTCATTGACATATGTGTACAGTTATATTACTTTTAAGGATAAAGATATTTTTTAAATAATTGCATCATTATTACACAATATTTAGAAATTTCTTTTAATATGCCATGATATTGTATTAATTTACAAAAATAAGTAATGAGGGCTCATTTGTATAATTGACATTTTTCAGGCAAGATTAGATCTGGGCACATGCAGATTTGGTTATGGTTTTGGAGGAACAGGCAAGAAGTCTAACAACAAGTGTTTTGATGACTATGGCTCTGCTTTTGGCAAAAATGATGTTATAGGTAAATTACTATTAGGTGGTAGGCAGAATAAAACTGTGGTGCTAATGATAAGGGTTTACTACTTGTATTTTAAATAGAGTACATTAGATCATCATGGCTATTATGTGGTATAGCCTGATATCATATTCAAGCACTTATTTACCTAAACTTCCTGGTTTTTACCACCCACAATGAATGTTATATCTTCTATGACTGTAATCCTGTTATTGCAAAATAATCTTTATGCAGAAAACTTCATAGAACTTCTCATAATATATTTTCTTTACTTCTCATAATACAAACTTAGGTCTAAGATATTATGTGACTGATTCTAAACTGTTAGCCTCAGTAAAAAAATATGGTATTATCATGACTTAAGTTTTATGTAAAAGTATATATATAACAGTAATAATGTGGGCTACCTCTGTCACTTGATCATCCCTTTAACAACAAAGCAATCACATTCTTTTCAAACAATGTCACTCATGTCTACTTCATGTCTACATTTGATGTACATTTATTTCTGTATCCCTTACTAAACAATTGTTGTTTTGTAGTTAAGTAATATTAATAACTCAATCCGAGAACCTGGGATTGACTTATATAAGTCAATCCCAGGTCAATCAATCAACAAGACAGGAAGAAATTGTTACATCATAAGTAGATACTACTGTACTCAGGTGTTTTTAAAAATTTGCAATGAACTTATGTACAATTATCTATTGTAATCATCATCATTATCTGCTGCAATGCTAAGCATAGGCCTCCCCCAAAGAGTGCGACAATGAAAAAAAACTCACCTAATGCAATCAGCAATACTTCAATATTTGCTCACAATGTAGTCCATTACGCTGTGAACACAATCGCGTAGCGCGTTTAATATAATCCTCCGTAATTTCCGCAGCATTCCGCTTTTTGAAGCGTCAAATGCCAGATGACTTAAGTTCGTCACGGCTATGGGTTTCGTTCACATTACACTCAGCATTTAACTTCGCCCCACAAAAACATCACATGGAGTGAGATCAGGTGACCTGAGAGGTCAATGTACTGGTCCACCAAGCCCTGAGGTCGTAGACGCTCTCTACCGCATAGAGTCTTTGAGCTTCGTGTAGACTCCAACCACTTTCGATATTAACACGAACCATTGTTACGCAACGACGACTGCAATTCGTATGCGTTTGCGTCGATTTGATGTAGCGCGAGTGCCAGATATGGCGGCGCCAGTCGCTCGAGGAACCGATTATTATTTACTAATTTTAAGGAAACCACACGTTAAAAATCATTAGAAAATATTGACATTTTAAAATCATCACTAATATGTTGTATTACTCTTGTATTAATCTTATGCACAGGAAAAAAGTGGATAGTGATTTTTTATCATCCTGTATATTTTTTCATGGAGACGAGAAAATGAAGTCTAGGCATAAGCACCTGATTTTCGGATCACTAATCATAGCGATACTGCTTCCAATAGTCATTGTCATAGTTCAATAGCCATCGATAATCATTCATATGTAAATGTGACATGAATATTACTGTACTGGGGCCTTACCATGAACTCTTATTACAATTCAGTTTAGGACCTAAAATGAATCGTAGTGAGACATCGCTACGTGAAGTGTATATCACCATCCCGCTTTTTTGGCGTTACGAACCTATACTGAACTGTAATAAGAGTTCATGGTAAGGCACCTGATCATAAAGGTATACATATACCAAAAAAACAACATCAAAAACGTAGAAGATATACAATTTTCTAAAATAGTATTATATGAACTTATACAATGTACTCTTTAAGGTTGCCTCCTCAACTTGACCAATGGAGAGATTCGCGACACAAAAAATGGTGAAGACCTAGGCTGCGCTTTTAAATTGGATCAATCACGACGTAGTGACTGTTATTTTCCTGCTGTGGTGCTCAAGAATGCTGAAATGAGCTTCAACTTTGGCAGCACCCCTTTTAAGGTTGTAATTTTTGTTTTCTAAAAATTGTAACTTTTTTTCCTTTCTTTATCTTGCAATCAGCCTTATAGCCATTATAAGCAAATGGGTTGTATGTAATTCATAATGGAAAGGGTGCTACTCCCAGTGGATAAAAATCGTAACTAAGCAAGAAAGTTGTCTAGTCACACAAATTGAAATTGATAAATCATGCTCTGACGTTTTATATCTTATTAAAGACGCAAATTTTCCCAAACTCGTACCTGCTGGTAAGTGAAGTTGGTAGAAATCTTCTCGTCTCGTCTTAATACCTAGTCATGAACACCTTTTGTGGTATTATCATAAAAATTATAAAATTGTCGAATGTTGTTTTATCACCTGGTGACTAGCATTGACCCTGCACTATGCTTTAATTTCAGCACACTCCACCAAAAGACTATATACCGCTCTGCCAGGCCCCCAAAGAGTTTGTCAAGCAAAATGTTGTATCGGCTGTCAGCGCCACTGATCTGAAACCAGTAAATAATGCACCACAGGCCATCATTATAGAGGTAACCCATCACCAGCTTAAGTTATTCAAACTTTATATTTCCTTTTTTCTTCATTAATTTTTATTTTCTATTTAGTGTCATAAATAGTTTTAATGTGTTCTGGAATAAAGTCCTGTGAGGCGTCTCTTCGTCAGTTGTTACTCTTGATTGTGTTCTACCAATCCAGTATCTTAGTTTAAAAGTCTTTAGCGTCTTCAAACAACATAATTACAAGTTTGAATAAAATAATCCATTCAATTTTTCAAATTATAAAGTTCTAAGTCTGAAAATAAAAACATATTTAAATTAAACTCAAATGCCTAATTAGTATGTCGGACTAATCGGAATGATATTTACAACAATCTACACCTGTTAGTTTCTTAACGTTGAGCGACATATAAACGCCAAAAAGAGATTTTCAATACATACATACATCACATAATATTTATGATGAAATACAGAGTTAACAATAATAAAAGAATAACTTTTATTATATGAATGTTGTAAAGTACCTTATAAACCCAAATTGCATTTCCTCAGCCGTCTCGGGAGTTAGCAGAGCAAACATGCGTCCAAATAACAAAATTCAAGAAGTACCTCGAAAACCCGCAAGTGCGTGAGTTGCTTGTGGTGGGAGGCATTAATGTGAAGGACCAAATCAACCAGCTGAATGCTGGCGTTGATATTGTCGTTGGCACGCCCGGGAGGTTAGAGGATCTTATTCAGGGAGGTATAGTTTTTTTGCGTTAATCTGTCTTATTTTCGATCTTTGTAAATAAGTCTTACATTATTCTAGGTTCCACTTCTACTTAAAAACAATACCTTTCTTGTTTCATAGGTTACCTAGCATTGACTCACTGCCGTTTCTTTGTACTGGACGAAGCAGACGGACTTCTAAAAGCAGGGTATGGTGAGATGATCGAGCGCCTTCACCGACAGATACCCAAAATAACATCTGATGGTCGCCGTCTACAGATGGTGGTTTGTTCAGCCACCTTACATGCTTTTGAAGTTAAGAAAATGGCGGTATGTATTATTATATCTATACTTTTAGTGTATACTATACTAACCTATAATAACAAAGCTTGGTTCCGAGAAAACATTCCGTTTGCTCCGACGTCACAAATTAGACTACAAAATCACAAAAACCCTTTGAAACCATATTCATAGATGTTACATACAATGGGAACACTTTGAGCATGTTGAAGGAAACTGAATCAGCGTAGTATTTACCTTAAATTCAGTCGCGTAATATCGACGCTTGCCGCTTCTTCCAATCAGAGATCGCTATTCTGCCAAAGAGATCAAAACTTTGAGGAAATAGTCGTCTCTGATTGTAAGACACCGACAAGTTACACAGCAAGTTCAGCGGTGTAGCAGTAGAATTAACGCTAACACTAGTCTTTTTGTTTCTCCTGTACAACACTGTCCCATTATGGTAAAAATATTTTAACAGGAAAAACTAATGCATTTCCCGACATGGGTGGACTTGAAAGGCGAAGACGCGGTGCCAGAGACCGTGCATCACGTTGTCGTCATCGCAGACCCGCAGAAAGATCGATCCTGGGAGACACTGCGCAGGTAAAAACACCTAAGTTTTACCGCAAAAAAAAGATTAAAAGATTTTTTCTTTGTGTTTGTTCGATCTTTTTATTAATTAATAATAACTTATAGTTTACCGGAATTTAAGTAATTTAATGGCTAAATACAATGTATTAAATGTTTTGAAATGTTAAGGACATAAAATGCGAACAAATCAAATTTTCGGCCTTTGTTTCAACATAAATTTTCGTTTTAACTTCCACTATAAAAAACTTACTTTAACTGTGTAATCTCTCCTGTCTTTATTCTACAAAGCTGTTACCCCACCCTATCTTAAACTAAAAAGTCAGTACTTGTTGGGTGAACGATGCTTCGCGATTCTTGAAGTTATTCAACATGTATCATAAAGAGCAATTGTACCTTCTCAGCCACGTGCAAACCGACGGTGTGCACGCAAAAGACAATATTCGTAGTGGCAATACTACACCCGAAACACTTTCCGAAGCCGTCAAGATCCTGAAGGGAGAATACGTTGTTAGGGCCATTCGGGAACACAAGATGGATAGGTAAGTTCTAGGTTCTTTATCATTGGATTATTAGTTAATTACAATAGGTTACAATGACATTGTATTATATTATACACAATGAATAGCTTCATCATATCGTCTGTTTAAAGGTAAAACCACATAAGTGACTTTTTCCACAAAAAAATTCCAAATTATGTACCAGTTGTAAAATTCACCACCTTTCTGCAGATAAAACTCTTATTAAGTTTATAGCTTTTTTGTTATTGAGCTCCACGTGTAGAAAGATAGTGATTTACTTACCACAGCTATTATATACAGGGTGTCTGGTAAAGAATGGATAAGCCTGAAATGCCTTATAGTAGAGCTTATGAACGTTTAAAAAAAATGTAAAGAAAAATATATCCTACAAAAAAAAATTATGATAATCTGATAAAATTTATGAGAGCCTGCATCAGAGTCGGTGGCAAACAGTTTGAACATTTGCTGTAAACAAATTGTAAATAAAGTTGTATTTATGTCTAATATTGTTTTTTTTGTTAAACCTCAAGCTCAATTCAGAACAAAAAATAATCCAATTTTGAAAACTTAGTTTTTAGTCAAATTTACTCCTTTTGCACATTAATAGCAATAATTTTCTATTTATATTAGATACAATAATGAATTATACCATTTTGAAATCTACTTAAAACACACATTATTTTAGAATAGTTTGCCACTCAGGTTATCATAATTGTTTTTATATCAAAGATGCTTAAAGTTTGTGAAAAAAATTTTGCTCTGAAAAATAAAATAAAACTGTTTTTAAATTTAAGTGCCATAGTTAGTCATGCTATCTATTAGCACAGTTAATGTAGAATATTATGACACCAAAAAACCCAAGGAATTGATTAACTTGGAGTCATGGTGTACAAAAACGTAAAATAAGGTGAAAATAATTAAATTTAAAGAAAAAAAATATATCTTCGGTACTACATGGATATATTTTTCTTTATATATTTTTTTGAACGTTCATAAGCTCTACTATGAGGCATTTCAGGCTTATCCATTCTTTACCGGACAGCCTGTATATAAATTAAAGACTTTTTGTGAAAAATGTCACTTATGTGGTTTTACCTTTATTGAATGCGACCCCGTTGGTTGGGCCAGAGAGAGCGGAAAATTTCTTCCTCTCATTTTTGTGTTGATTATTTATATATGTATGATATGCAGCGGTGTACAGAAAAATCTGTAACAGGTTTATGCGACGCCGTTTTATGTATTTTTACTTATTGTAAGATGTATGTTATAAATGAAATAAGTATACACTATATATATACATTAAAACTGTATAATGTATACTGTATATTCACATTTACATGTGCACTTACATATGTATATATCTAATAGTTTCTTTTAGATGCATTATTTACGCTTTGTTATGTATGTTATTTCAGTGAATAATTTTACTCATAGGCGTTAATTCGGGCTTACAAATTACTCGGTCCTTTGATCTTGAATGAAAACCAGCACTATAGGAAATTTTTGCCTCTGCTAAGTCAGTGCTCTTTCACTGCTATCCAGTCCTGGATTTGTAAATAGGCCGTTTAGGCCGCGGCCTAGGGGCGGCAGCGTCCTTGGGGCGGCAGATTTCATTTAACTGCCTCCGTGGTCGAACGGTTACCATACCGGACTGCCACGCAGAGGTCCCCGGGTTCGATTGCCGGGCCGGGAGAAATATTTGTATGGCCTACATTTATTTCTCTCGTGAGTTTGGGTGTAATTTGTGGTTGTCTATATGTGTGTCCATGGCACCCGCCACACAGGGTTTCCCTAGTACATAGCCCCGCATGTTGAGTGTGTGCGTTATTATTATTATTATTTCAGTGGAGACAAAAGTCAAACATGTTCACTGGGTTTCTCACGGTTTTTTATACCTTAAATAAATCCCTATATTTCTATAGGGATTTATTCCATCGAAACCTATATTATCGCGTGAGTGATAGATGAGAGCAGCGCGGCGGGCGCACGGTAGTGGCTCAACGTCACAATCCCCACTTCCCGCCCGCACTCTCCGAGTAGTGATAATATGTAGTGATTATCACTACATATTATAACTACCGCGTCTGTCTGTCTGTCTGATCGCGATAAACTCAAAAACCACTGACCTGACGGTTTTCACCATAGATATAGAGTTCACCATTAGACAGAGTGATTGAATTAGATTAAGTGTATTATTTATTTAGGTTTTGTGTAAGTTGGCCTAAATATAACCTTAAATAAATAAGATAAAATAAATGTTGAAGATGTCGGAAAAAATCATGCCGGCTTAGCGCTTTACTGACGCGTGCCCCGAACCTAACAGAGATAAATCAAATCGATGTTCTAGAAAAATATTAAAATTATTAATTTTCTGAATCGATTTCGATAAAAGTTGGCAGTAAAGTAAATTCATTATGTAGTCTACCAGTATATGATGAGTGCTGAGAAAGGGGCGGCTGGTAGGTACTGACTACATGGCCTGAGGTCTAGGGCGGCCAAGACTGTAAATCCGCCACTGCTGCTATCACATGTTTTTACTTTTGCGTTTAATATATTTGTGTCATATTAGTGAATAAAGATTTTATGTATCTATTATATATTGGATATTGTGCTAGTTGCGGAAAAATATTTTGATCTTATTTTGTGAATAGAGCTTACGTCGCAGAAGTTCACAAAAGTCGTTAAAATTTTCATGCAAATTTTTAATATGTCATAAACGTGTCTAGTTAGATGCACTGTTAGTGTTGGTTCATGGACAAATTTCCATTTTGAAACAATATTTTTCAGAAAAAATATTATATACCTGTCAAAAGTTGAAGATACTGCCCCAATTTTGAGAACTTGTGAAAATAAGCCAAGCAGGGTTTAGAAAATTACATTTAGCAATGTTTCTACAATTTCGTTTTAAAATTCATGCTAAATAAAACTTTAAAATATATGTTTATGTTGAACAGAATTCTCGAATTTTTCAGAAATTTTCTAAAAAAATTCCACTATTTAAAATTTTTCGGAAAATTACCCAACACTGTGTAAAGTTACATTCTCTAAATGTTTCCAGGGCCATAATCTTCTGCCGTACGAAACTAGACTGTGACAACCTGGAGCGTTACCTCAAGTCATTCGGCAATGAATTCACATGCGTGTGCCTACACGGTGATCGCAAGCCGAACGAACGCAAAGCCAACTTGGAGAAATTCAAGCAGGCTCAAGTCAAGTTCCTCATTTGCACTGACGTTGCGGCTAGGGGTATTGATATTAATGGCCTGCCGTTTAGTGAGTATATTTGCTTTTGGATTTTTATAACGCGGTTTTCCCTCCGGATGCCGTCACCACTGTTGTTGCGGGTAAGATTTTTCACTCTTTGATGGCAAGTTTATAATTATATAATTGAAACCAAAAATCGTAGTGTGAATCCTAAGGTATAAGGTAATATTTAAGCACCTAAGTCAAATAGTTTTTTGTAGCAGTGGGGCTCCTTGTGAAAGAGTTTGTCCAGGGAAAGAAAAAAAAAAAAAAAAAAAACAAATTTATTGACTTAACTTAATCTAGGTTACATATATCATTGCCAGTGAACTTCTTTTAAGTATGAAAATACCTGTGTCAGAAGCCACCACTCCTCCAATCCGGTACAATTATTACTTAGATTAAGTGCTGATCTTATTTTATGTTAACAAATTAAGATTAAAAATTAATTATGTGGATGGGTGCAAGCGTGGATGGGTGCGTGAGTGTATGTGTGTGCGTGTGTGTGTTTGTGTGTCTGTGTGCGTGTGCGTGTGTGTGTTTGAGCAGGTGATTACTTAGACCGAGACTCGCAAAAGATTTTCAACTTCATTATAATTTTTAGACTTTAACCATTTAGTTGTCTCATTACGACACTCATAGGCATTTAGCGAATATACATGTAGCAGTTTATTAATTTGATTATAAATATGAGTGGATTGTTTTTTGTATTGTCGAGACGCAAAAGTTGTCTTAATTATATGTACGGGAGCAACATTAAATTTTCTTCTTTTCTGAAGAAAAGCTGCATTGAAGCCTATATTCTTGTGCGTTCTAAGTACAACCTGAAGAATATATAATTTACGTACCGTTAACAAGTCGCCAATGGAGTACAGTAGCTCAGTGGGAAATCTACGAGGTTTTTTAAACATTACTTTCAAGATAGAACGCTGAGCTCTCTCTAACTGTATAAACTTCGTCTTAATAGATCCACCCCAAGCTGGTATACAATATATCAGTACAGACTGTACAAGCGCTAGATATATGGATCTTAGGAGCGTATCGGGTGCAATGTTCCTGAGTACTCTGAAAATCCATATCAGTTTCCTCACCCTACTAATCACAGCCTCAATCTGAGAGTGCCATGAAAGCCGCTGGTCAACTATAACACCCAAATACTTGGTTGACGGCACTTTATCTATAAATTATATAAGCTGCAAATGGAAGCACCACGGCTCGGACACTCATGGGTCCTCAAGGCAAAGTTATCAGATGGCTGTAAATTATTATATAGAGTAAAACAAATGTAGTTGGTCTTGCTCACATTTAAAGTAAGTAGATGTGTATTTAGCCAATTGGCAACCCTTGCAAGGCCCTCTTCCGCAGAAGCACTACCACCTTACCTATTTCTGCCGCCAAGCAGTAATGTGAGCATTACTGCGTTCCGGTTTTGAAGGGTAAGGGTGCTGGTGAAATTACAGGCACATGAGATTTATCAACCTATGTCTCAGGGGGACGGACGCTGTGGCAGTGCAACTGTTATGGACAGGCGTACCGCTTCCCATCAGGCGCACGACTTGTTCGTCCCGTCATTTGGTCTCATATTAAAAAAAACAAATGCTTAATTTTATTAATATATCCGCGGCCCCAACGAAAGAACGTGTATAATTCGTAATAAAAGTGTAGATAATACACGATTATTCGGTGGGGCGGATGATGTTCAAATTCAAAATTCAAATTCAAATTCAAAATAATCTTTATTTCATAGGTAAGCATTATTACACTTGAAATCGTCACAATAGTTAAACTCTACCGCTCATTCGTAAGGCAGATTCCCCTGAGAAGAATGAGCAAGAAACTCTAGGGGTTGCTCTTTGTAAATAACATTTACAATATTTTTTTTTTTTATTTGAAACATCAGAGATCGAGACTACCTCCATGAGCTAAACGGGTTACTACCACGGATTTTTGTCATCCAAGTACGCAGAAGTTGTATAATAACCTTTAGTATAAAGATTTTGTTTCACTATAGTTTTAAACCTCGTGAAAGGCAAATTTTGTATATCAACCGGAATCTTGTTATAGAAGCGTATACATTGCCCCTTAAATGATTTTTTGACTTTGTGAAGACGACTATCAAGAAAAGCTAGTTTATTTCTATTCCTCGTATTAATGTTATGTCTGTCACTATTTTTCATAAATAAATTACTATTCCTTTTAACATAAATTACATTTTTATAAATGTACTGTGAGGCTAGTGTAAGAATGTTAATTTCCTTAAACTTATCTCTCAAAGATACTTTGGGGCCCAGATTGTAAATTGCCCTAACTGCACGTTTCTGCAGGACAAAGATTCTATATATGTATATTTTATATGTTGTTTACAATGTCGGAAAATGTGAAGAGAATGACAAGGTTGAAACAGACGCCACTAGAATGTATGTTGAAACAAATTAATTTAATTTATGTGATTTAATCGGTCAATGTATGGATTTCAATAATTGATTTTGAATTTTGACTTATGTGCTTTAGTCTGTTGACCACAGAGTATGTATTACGTTCAACATTTTCTGGTATAACAATAAAAATCATTAAAACTATGTATATGCAAATGTTAATTGTATTTTTTTAAAGTCAATGCGCAGCATCGTCCGTCACACGATTGCATAACGTGTCGGTTGAAATTGTGGCCAACCACGCCATCACTGATTGGAATAAGTGGAGTTTCATTTAAAAGCGTTTCTATTAATAAGTTCAGTCGAGAATAGAACTATATCAATGAAAAGTATAACTTTTGGCCTATGATCTTTTTTCTGTTTTTTAGTGTAGCACCAACCTTTTGTTTTGTTTTTTCGGCTAAACAGAAAAAAAAAGGTTGACTGGCAGAGAATGCCTTATGGCATTAAGTCCGCCATTTGTACATTATTTTATTGTGCCAAAAGATTAACTAAATTACATACAACATACAGAGGAAGCTGTCAAAAACAGCCCCAAGTTTTGGACATTTGTAATACAGCGACGGGGTGTCGACAACCGCGCGTCTATTTTATATTAAAAAAAGTTATAGTGATGTTGGCGAGAGATCGAAATGGTGGTGTGCCTTTCGCATAAATGCCACAAATACAATTTATTTATTTATTTATTGAGAATTCATCACTGAGCCATCAGCTTAAACAAGTAACAAATAATTAGGAAACTCGAAAACGTAATAATACTTATACTAAAAATTAATTTGGGTAAAAATTCGTAACTACAAAATTCCGTCATTTCTTGTTCTCTCACAAATACAACCACAAATTCTTCTGTAAATACCAATAAAATAACATATAATATATAAGAACAAGTAGGGCGACACCCGCGTGTTCGGCGCGTAAACGCCTACACTTCGCGTTATTATTTTAATTGTACAGATGTTGTAATACCAGCATCGCGGATTGGTATCTTGATTATGGATATGGATGATTATAAATAACTGCCTCCGTGGCCGAACGGTTAATATCCCAGGTTGGATTCCCGGCCTGGGAGAAATATTTGTATGGCTTACATTTATTTCTCGCGTGAGTTTGGGTGTAATTTGTGGTTGTCTATTAATGTGTCTTAGTATTATTATGATTATTAAATGGAAATGAAATGCTGAACAATTCTGAATTTGGGGCTCTTGTTTAATCTACCACAAAATACAACAATATGCACGTCTACTATTTGGTGTAATTTTGTAAACACCGAGGGACTGCTTCAATTCTATAACTAATTCCGCGTGAGACGACACGCGCTATGTAACGCGAGTGCACCGCGAGATTATGCGAATTGTGAGTCACAAATACACGCCCTACTGCTACATATTTATTGAGTTTTCATACTTATTTTATTATACTATAACAACGAACTGTATGCCAATTGTCTAACGTACAAACCAGATAAGAGCCAAATAACAGGTCGCACGTCTACCGGAGAATTCTGAAATTCACGTAGCTACCGTAACTAGTTTGTACGTTACTCAATTGACATAAAGCTTATTATGCTATGTACAAGTTCGTTTAAAAAATTCGCTTCCATTTCGTTCAGCGGCAATGCAAACTGAGCCTTTTATTTTTGTTTATGATGACACTAGTGTTCCCTGTTTGTAACTAATAAAAATAAAATTTGGTAGTGATCAACGTAACTCTGCCTGACGAAAAATCTAACTACGTACATCGCATTGGCCGCGTTGGTCGCGCCGAGCGTATGGGTCTCGCCATCAGCATCGTGTCATCAGTGCCGGAAAAGGTATTAAAATTAATTATCACCACACTTGCTCGTAAATAGCATGATTGCATGGTGGCTAACTTGATTATAATGCCACAAATAAAACCCTCGGGCCTATTTTCTTATTACGGCGGACTTCCTTACATAGGGCAGGTTCAAGTTCAAGCAAGGAGGTTACTTAAGTTAAAAATTAAAACATTCGCTTAAAATGTTATCTAAACAGAAATTGAATTATACATACTACTTAAATACTTATTATTAAGAATTTCTTATGATTGATTTTAATTTTGTATAAAAATTTACAATTTTTTTTACAATCCATTATGGCTTTATGCGTCTTTGCTTTTTACAACATTTTAGTTCGAGTTGTGTTATATGTACTAGCTGACCAGCTACTATCCTTGAAACAAGTCACTTACAACGTTTATAGGGAAATTACGCTCGGCAGACACTGTGAAAAGAAAAAAAAATTCCATACAATTAATGGCTGACATGATGCATGGTCTCGACCGTAAAAAATTTTAACTCCTTGAAGTTTGATTTCTGAAAAATAGAACATTGAGGGTTTCTGTCTTCGTGCATCATTCGGTTAAATTTAAAAATGCAGTGGCGGTGTCTCTATCTACGTAAAAACAACCCTTTTTTCGGTGAATGGCTAATTCTGGAAACGGTAGATTCTTTAAATGGCAGATTCTGTAAATGACGAAACTAGGAACAACCTTTGGCTTCTCCTTAACGGAAAGAATTTAACAAACAACATAATTCCGTGGGCGAAAACGTCACTGTCAACAAAGTAAAAAAAATACTTTACAAACATTGACTTACAAATAAATGGACGACCGGTCTAATACAAAAACCACGAAAAAAATGTCCCAAGTCAACCTATTTAAACGTGGTGACATGTAAAGGAATGTGAAAAAGCTAAAACGTTGAATTTTGCTTGAACTTGCTTCGCTGTCAGTCGAACAAACGAAGACTAAAGGGTGAATGACGCTCTGTATACGATTTTAACGCCCTATAAGTTCGGACACTTTTTAGCGCGGACCCGACGTCCATATAATTGTAAGTCAATGTTTACAAATATACAATTTCATAACGTAACGTTAATATTTCTACCGTAAAAAAAAATATTCATTCTATGATGCAGTGGCCCGGTACCGTCCGTCTTGCGCAAGTACATTTCGAAATGCGATTACATGTGTATGCGCACGAACGCAGGGGACAGCGTGTTGACGCGCGAGATAACACACGTATACCCGCGAAATTGACATGATGTTTCCTTCATCGTGAAAGGAAGTGGTTAAAAAGTGAAGAAAGTGTTAGCGTAATCTTCAAATGTTTGGAAGTCAAAATTGAAACCGCTACGGGTCCCTAGTGTCGCGCACGAAACTAGATATAAAATATTTTGTTTTTATAAAATAATTTTTTTAAAGGTGTGGTACCACGGCGAATGGTGCTCGTCGCGCGGACGTAATTGCTGGAATACGAATCTGATCGATGACAGACCCAAGGGTTGTTGCATGTGGTACAACGAACCTCAAGTAAGTAGGCTGAAAAACCGTTTTTTATACCTTTTTGTTTATTTCGGTTTTTTGCTTTTGTAATATTGTCGTGCCTCAATGAAACGAGAGAGGTGTTTTTGAAACTTATATCTACTCTATCAAGCCTGAAGAACTACAAAAAAGGCACGTCAGATAATCAGCACCTTATATATGTTTTCTGTTGTGGCAACGTTGTCATATTTTCAGTACCTGGCAGACATCGAAGATCATCTGAACATCACAATCCAACAAGTGGAACCCGACATGAAGGTGCCGTGTGACGAGTTCGACGGCAAGGTTGTCTACGGTGAGAAGAGGAAGCAACTCGGTTCTGGATACCAGGTAAATTTCAAATATTCTCATTCACTGGTTCCTATTATAAAAATAATGGGGCATTTACACCAGTGATCGTAGATAGCAGAATATGTGTGATAAACCTCCCCGTGACAATATTTAATTCAATAGACAAATCTAAATTTGCTTATTTGATAATGAACTATTGTTATACATTTTGAAGAAAAAGGACGACATAAAATTGCGTATATAGCTTTTTTTTCTTATTTTTGTCGCTTAATAATCGCCGCGAAAAAGATGAAAAAAAAAACGACAAAGCTAAATTTGCTTATTTGGTAATGAACTATTGTTATAAATTTTAAAGAATAAGGGCAACGATATGAAATTGCGTATGTATCTTTGTCGTTTAATCGTCGCCGCAAAAACCATGAAACAAAAAATGTCTTTTCATCTCGTTCGTCGCTCTCAATTTTTACGTTGATAAAATTACTGTGCTAATGTTTTAAAATCAGCTGTGACCTTGCAGCCATGTTTAGCACTGTGTTAATCTTTTGCAGACATTGGTCGCCGGCGCTCGCGATGATATAAAAATGTGACGTCACGGTGTTCGCCATGTTCCCTATTGCGATAAAATTTTACAATTTTTTATTTTATCACTCGCATTTGACAGCTGACAGAATGTGGATCCGCGTGGAGGCGCGCCCTACTGCGATAAGGATTTTGTTGTTTTGCGGCAGACGACTCGCTGTAAACGGCGAGTCGACTGCGCCGCCTTCGGCAAGGCGAAATAGTAGCCGACTTTGTCGCCTTTGACAAGGCGAAGGCACCAGACGACAATGCAACATGTAATAAATTGAATAAAAAACCATACATTATCTTCATTTCAGGACCACGTAAGCCAGATGGCGCCAGTTGTCCGCTCGCTGCAAGAGCTCGAGTCGCAAGCGCAGCTCTACTACCTCAAGTCGTATCATAACGTTAGTATTGGAGCAACATAATATCATACACTAATTTGTTGTTTCAATTAAAATGTCATTATTATAAGATTCTTATTTATGTATCTTTTTGTATGTTATTTCATTACATACTAATAAACAGATTTAAAGCTGATGTAAACTTCTTTCGTAATTTGCTACATGATCCAAATAAATAAATTCTATATTTTGAGAACTACAATGTAAGTAGTATCGTTAATTTTTGTAAAGTAGTTTCACCGGATATAATTTTTTTAAATGCTCAAAAAATGACATTGGCTTATATGACTGTTTGGTCTCAATTGTGTATAAGTTTTTTTTTCGATATTTCATTATTTGGCTCTATTTTAGGATTACATTTAGTGCCGGGCATTTGCAACCCGGTGCGGCCTAGCAATAAATATTACGTTTAGGCCCCATCGGTCACAATGCCGGGCATAGTACGTACACGTAACGTTCGATCGATGTTTACCTAAAACTGAAAAAATTAAAGCCATTTTTTTTATTCCAAATAATATACTTTTTTCCCTCTAAATCTAAAAAAGTAGGTACGCCCTTAAAAGTCCTAAAAACCAAGTGGCAAAAGTTCGTCAGTGCAGCGTCAGTCATGTAATAGGCTAAATACATAGCGTTTGCCACTTGTGGCGTGATCGAGCATCGCATAGTTAGGTGTGTCGTGCCGGTCATTTAATTCCCCCATGGCTCGACATGAGAAGCCGGTTATTTTGACCCACCACGGCGATGAACGTGTTAATGTTCGTACGCCAAGCACACACGTAAACTTAATAGTTTCCTAGATTTGGTAGGTCCCCTGTGAGAACTGAGGAGCCATATATTTATGGCTGTAACCTTTTATTTATTTCTTGACGAAATCCAGAACGCTTTCTACAATTTTTAATTTTATAATCTCTACTAAACTTGGAACACTGCAGTTACAAATTCGCTGTGGCCACTCAATACAACATAGACACAAATACGCAGCAGTACGTGGTACACGGATAATGTTTGTTTTGAAACGGAGAAAGTAAGGCAGAATAAGGAATTCTGCAATGAAGAGAAAATTTTAAAGTAAGAATGAGGAAATTGGAAGATTTAGTATGTGGATATTACAATAGTATGCTCATAACGTGTTGCTAGTTTCCGTAATGTGTTATTGTACAAATTTGGAACTATTTTTGTATCTGGGGGTCTGTTCCCGTTCCACATCCGAAACAATTACTGTCAAATAGGTAACTCGACCAAATCAAAAGACGGCAATCGTCGAGTATTTGACACAAAATTGTTTCGGACCATTATTTTTAATCATCTTTTTTTACGACTAGAACTGATTAAATCGCGACTTTTTTGTGTAATCAGATCTAAGCTAAGTGTTGTGGTTCTCGAGATTGGGATTTGGTGCCGCTGGAATAAGTTTATTCCAGAGTGGACAGTAAAACACCCTTATAACATTTGAATATGAAGATATTATTTATAATTAAGATTAAAAGATTAAATTTATAAGTAAGAAGTTACTTTTAAATCTAGTTTTTTTTCGACTAGAACCTAGAACCGACTAAATAGCGACTTTTTATCTGTCTGGCTAGTCAAATTTCAAAAATTCGACAATGATCACGCTGGAATAAGACACGCTTTAATAAGTAGTATCTGGAAAATGAAGGGTATTTCAAACGAAAACAAAACAAAAAGAGTCAAAGTTCATTACTTTATTATTTCACTCGATCAATTACTACTGCTTATGATTAGGGCAGTGCATAGCGGCCCTCTTCAAAATAAAATATTAACTCTCGTTACTTCACTATGTAGGAAAATAGCCGGTAATACTGTTCATATAAATTACTAATTTTTTTTCCTTTATATAATAAACTGAGTTATAAAAACCAAAATTTCGTAGCAATAATTTTGCTCTAATTACTCAGTCTATTATAATACAAATCACAATATTATGTTACAAAATTCGACAACTAAAATTAGATGTAACTAATGTTGTTTATTTGTGGCTTAGCCATGACAAAAACTATGTATAATTACGTAAATTAAATTCTCATAATTTCATTAAATGGGATAAACATAATATACACTTTGGCCCTTTCAATTGCAACCACGAGTAAAAAACGAGTCTTTGTAAATATCTAAACACTTTCATTTTTTCAATCGCTCAAAAAGTATTTTGTTATCATGGCACCCAAAGGTTTGAAATTCTTTTAACACTACTTCATAAATGAGGCAATTAGAGCAAAAGTGGTGTAACCCACTTTTTTTTACAATATTACTTTAAATTATATTACATAATTAATTATTTTATATTTGGATACTATTTTCACGTATAAAAAAAAATATTATATAGAAAATAGCATTAAAATATAAAATAACTATGTACATACTTCAGTATTTATTTATATTTTATAGTAGATAAAAATTAAATGTGGGTTACACCACTTTTGCGCGAATAGGTTCAAAATAGGTTCACATAGCACAGGTATGTCTTATTCAAGCTGTCAATTTACTCTTCAAAATGTTGTTTCGCGAATCACCTCCACGGGCGCGAGCATTACTACGCACCGCCCACTTACCTTAAAGAAAAGCAAATTCGGTAGATGTGACAAATTTTTCTCTCGCGGGTTTTATCGCTGCGCTTATGCTTTTGTTTTTCGCTAACACAACTCATGTTCGTTAAGTTGACATGTATTTGCCTTGCGCTTAATTACCATAGTGTTCCTGCAATTACGTCAACTCTACATATCTGAGTTAGTTGAACAGAAAAAGACCAAAGTGTTAGCCTATTACAATCTCGTTTTTGTATTCAATCAGTCACTTGTAGTTCTGCGGTATGACACCCTCTGTTTTTCTAGTAAACTTGTATTTTGTTTCATATCTATAAAATAATTGCTAATTATCCTATAAAATATTTATATAACAATATAAGCGCAAAGCTACCAAATTAATGGCTCGTATTGGTGCGAAATTCCTAAAATACATTTAGATTGTTCATTCAAATTATTCTTTAAAAACATAATTTGCAATCCATGTATACTACGAAATACATTTCAACAAATGAAAAATAACAAAAAAAAAATAAATTATTATTCTATTTTACACAATAGTGTTGTAACCTTTTATCTATTATTTTATTTCTTTTAAATAGTTATTTTAAAGGATTTTCGTAGATTTAATAAAAATATAAGCTTTTATAGCAATATCATTGAGTTAGGAATTCACACAAGTTTGGGGTGAGGAGGAACTACTTAAAGCAATATTATTTATAGCGATACAATGTTGCTGGACCTTATAGGTGTAACACAAAAAGTAACGACACAGAGTGCATAGGGAATAGTTGAAAAGGCAACATAGTATAAGTGCACAGTTAAACAGTAAAATTATATTTTATACCCTTCAAGACCCAACAAACTACAATGAAAAAAGCTCTAAACGCCCAATGGACATTAGAATATAATGGTCATATATATATATATATATATATATATATATATATATATATATATATGATATATATAGATATGATATATGAGATATATATATATATATAATATATATATATTGTAATATATAATAATCCTGTGGGTCTGAATCACTTCTACATTTTGATGTGGGGCCTTAGTAGGATACCATAACATAATTGCATCGGACCAAGTAAAATGCTTTACGCATCAAATAACAGTGCACTATACGATTGCGGGCGCTGATGAATGTGATTGAATTAAGAAATGTAGATATAAATATTGCGGGTAGCTTTAGTAAATTGCTATTAATAAAACGCGGATACAAAATAAATACATAAAATAAAAAAGGGAAACAGAAATGAAGTATATGTGATCTCTGTATCCAGCAACATTTAATCTATATTAAATAGAAATTTTTAAAACCATGTGCACGATTGGTACATTAACACACTACCAAAGGTTTGTTAGTCGTTCAAAGTAACAGTTTTTTGTGCCTCAGGAACTTTATGTAACCTTACAACTATTCCTGAACTGACCGATTCTATTATCACGTTTAGTAGTAATTGCAAAACGTATTACTGTCACCCCATATAATTCGACAAAAATACACTTTTATGATATTTAATACCAGTCAACCATTAAACCAAACAGAAAATTCCCTAATTTTCTGTTAGGCTCAATGGTTGACTGGTAGAGAATGCCTTATGGCATAAGTCCCCCATTTGCCTTCATGTTTTTATAACAATCGATCTATATATTTTATATTTCGTATAATCTTTCGGAAATCCTATTATCTTAAACGATCAGGGTCGCAGTTAACAGGCTTGATATAATTATGTTGGCTGATAAAAGACAGACTCTGCAGGAATAATAAAGTACAATATAGTATATACGGTACAAAGAGTTGTTTGAGCGAGAGAGACAGAATTATGTCGAAAGCTAACTTGAACAGAATAAGGCAAAATAACCTTTGCTTGCTTCGGAATGTTGTAGGGCGGTCCATAATTTTCCAGTAGTAATGAACAGGATGCGGACGTACCTTTATTTTTACTAGTTCTGCAAATTTTTATACCTGTCCATCGTCCAACTGGCCTGAATAACATATTAACTACCTCGGATGCGATTTTCAACGAACAACAAACCTTTTTATTATTAATAACAACAACGACAATAAATTAAATATTCGGTGATACGGCTACCCCACCAGATTTACTTTAATTATATAAACACTAAGATACGTTACAAAAAACTTTATTCATTAAAATTTCCTAGTTCATCAATGCGAACCACTAGCCAATCAATAACGAGAGCTATTATCAACACGCTCACTAAGTCTACTATAACGGCCCTTCAAATAATACACAGGACTTTGACAGGAGCTAAGGTACTCTTTTCAAAGTTCGGGCTAAAAAATACAGTGATCGTGAGTGAGTGATGATGAGATTATTTTCTTATCTTGAGAGTCTGAACATCAAAGCCTGATATTAGTAATTTTATTAGTCACATGTACATGTTTTTATTGACCAGCGTGTTGAAAATAACTTTCATTTGGCGCGTTCCCAGCTCCACCCACAATTGGAGTATACCTAACAAAATGGCGAACATGGTCGCAAAATCTAAATATTTTTTTTAACTAAATGGGAACACATTTGCAATTTCTTAAAAAAATATTACGTTGAACAGTTAATAAGGAACCATCGACATTACGCCACAAACTACATTAGTGTTGTTTTGTTATGGTGTTATACCTTGTAATAACACTTTTTACGTAAGTTAATTGCATTAAATTGTTCTCGATTGCTGTAACATAAGGTTGAAATTTTTTAATCAACCATTTCACATATTTTCATCGTATAGTCACATCGACAAGTGCACTCCCAGTTTAAAATATCCTTTGTTATTTTTTACTTTTAACGTTTTATTACTACACCCTGCCATAATATCTACACAAATTAATTTTTAAATAAAAAAATGTATTAGTACCTGTTTTACGATATAAGTATTTTATATGGAAAACACATATTTATACTTATTTACTCTCTATAACTTCAAATTAGTTTTAAGAATTGACTGCGAGCGATTATTAGAATGAACAATGCACTTTTCGAAACAACATTAACTATGTATACAGGGACGCAGTCTATCACATACGCTTACCAACACTAATGCAAGTTTTACGACCTGAATTTTCGTAATGCAAGAAATGTAACAGTCCTGCTAAAAGCAAGGATTTTCAAAGACCTCATGAAAATCTCTATAGGATTACATGAAATTTGTTAAAACGCTTCCGTCCAACCGACCACATGACGTACATTACACTACCAGTATAAATAGATCTTGTCAAACCTAGTTTTGTTAAGGGCACTAACGGCGCTTAGTGTCAGTTTACATTGGAAATTGTGCGTATCACATCCACAAGGCTAGAGACCTGTCTATTGGAAAAAAGAACCTGTTTGCGCTTGCGCAGTTTCGCTCGCCAGGGACATATTTTATTGGTGATTGAAAACAACATTCCTGGGATTCGAATTGAGGGATAGGAAGAGCCAGCACAATTACAGGCACAGAAGACTCAAAATCTTATGTCTTACAGCTGGCAACGTCTTTTGTGAAGGAAGGAATAAGTAGTGCGCCTGGTGGTAAGCGACACGTCTGTCCATAATAATTGATGTGCCACTCAGTGCTTTAAATCACACATATCTGAGGCGCACTGCCTCTGCGCCCGGACCCTGAGACATAAGTTGACAAGTCTATGCGCATGTAATATCATAAAAAATTAAAAATTTACTTTTAAACGTCAACAAAAGGTTGTATTTTAAATTGACATAATCAAGCAAGTGTAAAGAAGCACGTACGCGCAATTTTAGTTAAGTTTTTTCCTAAAAGTCATTCCGGAGTGGACTGATATGCATGAATAATGTAATAGGAACATTTTGGACATAATTATGTAGCAAAATCATTCCCATACAAATTCACGGAACAGTTCGTCTAATTTAGTAAGGAAACTTTTTGAGCATATCGCTCAAATAATCTGAACAAATAAAGTGTAATCCAAATCCATAATCTTTGGTTCAACACGTTTACAAAATGATACATTTTTATTTTGTTCTACAAATTGTAGGTTGGCAACGTGTTACAAATAGCTAGGATTATTTTTTCACGTGAGACATTAAATACGACGCGTTGCTATCAATTTAAATTGGACACACTATTTTATTTCCGCCCACCAATTCATAGTCTTAGTGTATTGTAAAATGACAATATGATATCAAACATATTTTTAAGGAACATACAAATTATGCAATAAATATATTGTTTTTTCGGTGGGCAATATTTTTTTAAAATGTACAGTACTTTTTAAATAGTACTGTAGTTTTTTATCTTTCAAATTAACATATTTTTTGTTACTTCCAATACTTCTTACTTTTACATTTTGGTGTCATATTTATTAAAGAAAATTATTGTTCTAGAACTAAAATAGTTTGAAAAAAAATTCTACTGATCAAACAAACGGCCTAAACTACTAAAACACATTCAAAGTGAGCAAGTCAGTACAACCTCTCGTCTTTCTCTTCTCTTATTAAAAAATTATAACTACTCTTAAACAGGATAAATATTCGAGTCAATGTCAACATACTTACATGTTTTTATCTGCCTATGTTGGTAATTGATACCAACTAATGACATTTTCTAGACTTGTACCTGTCACAGTAGAAAAATCAAAACATATTTGACACATGAAAGAATTTCAATGTGATAAGGTCCCGAAGTCATTAAACGTTCGCACATTTGGCTATAGTAAATACCATTATGTGAAGAAATATCAAAGTAGAACTTTAAAAAGTACAAAATCATCTCCACAACTTTTACATATATCGCAAAAAGAGTCGATAACGTTGTACACTGAACACTATTTACAACATGTATTTAAAAGCATATTCTCACCTGGCACAGCACACCAGTCACCAATAAGGCCTATGTACGTATCACGAACGCGTGCGTGTTTACAACATTGATCTTGCAGATAACATACACGCATGTCGTTATACAGGGTGTAAAACTAGAACGCAGATATTTGGTTCGTAGCACATAATTAGGAAGCCATTACCAGTCCATTAACTCTGGGTCAATTATGTTGTTCTTGTCACGTCATTATAACTGAACTCTTAGTCCCCCATACACGGAAAAAAGGCAGTTACTCGAATGAATGAGAAGGGAATTAATGATGCAATAAACCTCTGCGTCTGCTTTTCCACATCCGTTTCTGCTTCCGCAACTTATGTAACGGAACTTTCAATCTGAAGTTTACAACGTTCGCGACGGATGAGGCGCGTGCGCGGAGTGCCGCGCATATTTTTTAGCAATTTTGTGTTATATTAAGTGAAGTTGCATCACTAAAAGAAATATTGCTTTCTCGTTATAACGCGTAACTATCTCTTTTTCTAACGTGTATGGGGCACTCTGAGAAGCATTAATAAGTAATACTAACCTCTTGTACAAGAGACGTCAAGAAAATAATACACACAATCGTCTTTCGTATACCATCAAATATGTATAGCAACACGATTCACTATTACACACAATGCCTTTAAATTGTTCTTGATAATAGGTTGGTGTTACAAATCTTAATTAAGATTATCACATAATAATATCCTTCTAGGGCGACACGTCTGCCTTTTACGCATTGTATTCTAACGCAGATCCAGACTTGGATCGTCTGTCTGCCCGAAAAAGAGTAAGGATCCGGCGGAAAATACGCAGCTGAAATTGTCCTATATTATTAATTAGTTTACCTAAGTAAACGTTTTTATTTTCTATATATACAGCAACAAATTGTTGTAGCAACAAGTGCATTATAGAAATTCTCGTTTATAGCAATTTTGTGTTATTGGGTTTCGAGTATTTAAAACAACCCAATCGCAACATTGACGTATGTTTATTAGCTCTGACATATTGACTCAAGGTCTAAAATCCAAGGTCAAAGAATAACGTAAAAACTACATAGCGCTATATTAGATCTTACGCCCAAGGCCCGCACGAAAGGAACTTTCTCGAACTACGTACCTATCCTTTCCTGTACGTCTGATACAACCTGGGCAACAACGCCATTAGTGTACGCCATCGATGCGATAAGAAGAAGCACGAGGTCCAATTCAGCTGCGTTTTCTCGGCTACCTGGCCTTATGTTGTATAAACATTCCTCGGACGTCTGCATTACAACTACAATCACTTAATTTAAAAGTAACGCGGACCAAAAAGGCATTTAAACCCTTCAGTTAAAATTCAGAATACGCTCTTTAAGTGGCATAAGGCAGTTTAATGCACATCCTGTTCACATATCAAAACCAATGTTAGGCCACTTGTCTCACTACTCAACAATGCAGTAGTGCAATGTAGTAGTACAATGTCGCGAAACAAACATTAACAAACAAACTTTATACTAACTAAATAGGCAAAATTAATAAATAATTAGTCCAACTGAGATTTCACGAATACCTGTGAACAATATTGAAAGTTTTATTACATAACCTCAACAGAATATAATAAACCTACCTCTAAATACACTTATTTAATTAACCTTTGTTGATCTTTATTGTAATTCAAATCTTTAAGATCCTCAATTTAATCACCAATTGCTTCATAAAGACGGGAATCTACCTTACGAGTGAGCAGTAGTGTTGAATAGCGTTTTCAAAAACAGGGTTCGAAGTGATAGATTATCACTATAATTATCTTGATAAATATAAAATTAATTAGAACAACAAAATGCTACCGCTAGCAATATCGTCATGTATTTGTATTAGAGACATAACCAAACGAGTCAAATGTCAAAACAAAAAAAAACACAAACCACTTCATTTTCGCAAAGATTTCTTCCTGTTTATTTAGGTTTCTTTTTGTGATTTTTGGTCAATAATTAAAAATACAAAACTATTATTAATTTTTAGAACTTAATTATCAGCATGGATAATTACTGATAATTATCCAATATATACAGACAATCGATGAAAACAATATTTTGATAATTTCGAACCCTGTTCAAAAGTAATTTGCTTATCAAATAGTACAACCATATTTTTCAATAAAAAAACTGACCTCAAAAGTCATTCATATTAAAAAAAAAACTTTACCCAACAAAAAAGAATCATCGAAATCATTCACAAATTTTAGAGTCAAGAGTTATCGCGTAGCATTATACAAAAAAATACAGTCGAATTAAATTATTAATTAATAATTAAAACCTCTTTTTTTTTAAGTCGGTTAAAAATAAACCATGATCTATGTATACTTTGGGTCAAGGACAAATTTCATTGCAGTATTCACTAAATGTGCGAATCCCAAAGGTACGGAAAAGACCCTCAGATTTACTTAAATCTAAATAAATAAAAAACACTTATAGTAAGCTGCAACAACTGACCCGTCAGAGCGCAAGCCATGGATGGTGCCGAAGCGACTCCTTCGAACGATCGCCATAATCGTACGTGAGCTCTTCACCGGGCGCGATGTCCTGGGCTGCTAGAAGCACGAGTCGTGGTCCGTCCACCCATAACGCTTTGGTCGACAGATTGCCGTTACGAGAGTGGTTTACTAGGCGCCCGAGACGCCCTGATTCCGCGGTCGCGTCAATACTGCGGATGTTAAACAAAAGGCTCAGGAATTCCAGAACTTTTAAAATATATATTAAAAAAAGAAACAGTCATTGCACTGTTGAACAAACATGGAAGAGAGAAAAAAGGCCTGTAGTATTGTCAAAGAAAAAAAACCAGTGATGCTAAAAAACATTGATTCCCAAACTTTTTAGCTTACCGTCTACTTATATAAGATAAAAAAATGTCAAAGCCTGCTCCCACAAAAAATAATTGAAAACATGTATTTTTATATTAACTTAACACAAAAAGAACACAAGGATATAGATGTATAGATATATTGTACAGATGCAATCGCGCGTTTGTATCGATGCAGTCGCTCGTTGGCACGATGCAATCGCCTTATACGTAATACGATTTATACGTAAGTGCAGCGATGCAATTGCGCGTTTCACGAACGAGCGTTTGCATCTCTGCTAAAAGTCGCCATGTGTAACCACTCTTAGATACGAAAAAATAGTTTCATTTCCTATTTATAATTTTTTTAGAGTAGCAAAATTTATGTTTCTGTATTAAGTAGTGGGGTCTTAATTTTAATTTGATCGTACTTGTAGAATGTTCTTACCTAGAATAGGAAAAAATTGCCTGTTTTCTTTTAATTAAAAAATAATCAACTTAGGCCTGTTGAGGAAGTGTACAACTAAAGGTTTCCGATCCTATCGCACGTGCACAATTTCTCGCTAGGTCTCAATCCTTAAGACAAAACCCGCTCAGATTATATAGATGCAAAAGATAAACTCTTCATTAAACAATTGAAAAAAAAAACCCAAACGCATAACTGAGTTACAGTATAGTTGTAGTACAGTATGTAAGTACATATCCATTATGTAATTAATATACATAATGCTTATCGCTCAATGTTTTTTGTACCACTTTGCAAACGAATCAATGAAATTACTGATCTTCGGGTTTCATAGAACAGTTACGACTAATATGTTCATCTGTTTATAGAACAAATATCTCGGTGAATAATCATTGTCAATGTTTTTCCATTTAATTTAAAGGAACTTACCAATACTGTTGGTCCTGTAGCCTGAAGTAATACATATAGCAACCAGCTTCCGGGTCCTGTGCGTATTTGTACTCGCGTTCACGCGCCTCCTGCACGCCTACAAGTTCTCCTGCGTACTCGACTACAAATTGACCACGGCTGAACTTGCGCGTCGCGATCACACCGCGGCCTTTGCCCTCGAAATACGCTGCCTAGAACAATATACATAGATATAGAATATACAATATAATTTTATGTACCTTGAAATAGTGGCAGTTGACATCGGATGTTAATTATTTTATAGATCCAAATGTAACTTGACAGCTTTTATGATATTTAATCAACTACAATAAAAATTAAGATACTATACTAACAATACTTTGTAATATTAAGGAACGTTAGATTTAATTATATTCAAATAGTTAACATGGTGACCATATTATGAACTATGTGTCATATTTATTGTCTTTAGGAGTACACGAGATTGTACTTATATTGAAAGCAAAAGTATACCTACCATTTATAAAGATTTGCTTGATGTGAACCAAAGTAAAGTAAGTATAATATTTAAAACTATACTTTAGCCAGATTCGATATAGAATAAATGTGAACAAACAAAAAAAAATAGGTTTTCGCGATTGTTACACATAGGAAATGAAACTATTTTTCCGGCTTTAAATCGCGTATATTTGTCAACCATGACCATGGAACCTGCAAAGAGCCCGAAACCTTGGTTTGTTTGAAAAACAAACATACGCGATTTAAATCCGGAAAAATAGTTTCATTTCATATGTGTAACAATCGCGAAAACCTAAGAACTCGATAGTTTCATTTCCTATAAAAAAAAAAAAAACTTTTAGGGTTGTCAACTCAGATTGTTTTACAGTTACCACTATTTCAATATTTTTCCCCGAAATTCTATTAAGTTATGGATAATACTAATCTTGATGTCATGTCTGTGATGAATTGAATTTTGTTCAATAGAAATTTCAAGTTAGTAATAAGTGATTTTTCCAGAGGAACGGATGTTCCGCCAATGTTTAGCTTGATATGGTGCCGTCTGTCCTTACTACTATAGTTCATAAGTTTCTTGCTAGTAAGCAGTGATCGGAATTGAGGGAGTTAATGCTAAACTAAAGAATAATGTGAACATTCCCTTCTACAAACATCGGGACTTCTCGGAACTGATTGTATTTGAATATGTGCATTATTTTTTGAAAATTGAGTAGATTGGCGGCAAATTGTTATTTCCTATTAAGTATTTGCTGCAAATTATTGTCTCAAAGAATGATATTCTAGCTGTGTTTCTATAGGTATTTTAATAGAAGTATTAGCTGAAGAGCTATTTAAAAAATAAACACGAGACAACCTATATTTTGGAACGTTTAGAAAATAAATAGTAAAAACAGAAATTTTATATACATTTTATACATATTTTACGTACTAAGAAAATGTTCATACTTTAGGTAAATTAACTCCCTCGACTCCGAATGTGTCACACAAACACACATACGGAATTCTGTGTACTATGAGCACCAGAGCAACGAAATTCACTCCAGAGGCACAACCCAGAAATACTCGCACCGCAGTCTATTTAGAAGTCTATTTGGTCGTATTGGGGTCATCCAACGCACACAGTGGGCCAATGAGGTCGTTAAATATGGATACTGATCCAAAATATACACTTATCATTAATATTACACTTTAATACCTGATATTATTTGTTTATTTACACCAAGTTGTGTTGTCAACAAAACAATGATAATAAAAGTATAAACATTCACCACAAACTTATAAAAGACATTGCACATGTGGTTTCTATCTATTCTATCTATTTAGGATACTGATTACTCAAACTCACACGACAATGTCACAAGACAATGTGACACGTACGTTCTCGTACAAATGTTGTCAGACTGCACTATCATTCATTGTATTTAACTTACTAAAAATTGTTATGATGTAAGATTGTTTTTTTTTATGCCTAGTAAATTTATTGTAGACGGGTAAGTATATGTATGAATTCAGTGGTAGTACAGTATAAAAATTTAACAGCCGTGTCGCTTTCCACCAGGCGCGCGACTTGTCCGTTCCGTCACTTGGTATCATAAAAAAAAACATGAAAAAATATTTACAACACATACATAGAAAATTTCGTAAGATCTGCTGGTTCGTTCCGTAGCTCCGTTGGGAGAGCGTGATGTGTTCACGCTCTGGTATGGTAAAGACGCTGGTTTCGAGTCCAGCTAGATCGAATGAATTTTTCTTTGTGTTTAGTCTTTGTATTAATAATCAAAAAATAATAGAATATCATGGTAGTAAAACGTGATATGCAATAAACTTAATAATTATGAAAAAATATTCTTTGTAATTTCGGTCACTCTTGTTCGACGCATTTGCGAAAATATGCAAGGGCAAAAATAATAAAAACAAACCAAAGTAATGCATTACCTGCAGTCCATCTTCTCTTTGATCTCTCACAGCCCGCTCCAAGTCCCTCATCTTCTCAGCCATAACACATTTTGAAGTCTTTCTAACACTACGTCTCACTGGGAAATATTCTGTCAGCTTATGATTGGCATTGCCATTTGCAACTTTAGTTTCTACTTTGACAGTCTTTTCCATGGGTGGGGGTGAATCTACTTTTTCTATTTTCTCTCTTCTAGAGCTCGTCAGTTCTTCCTTAAAGTATTCTGTTAGTTTGTGGCTTTCAACGGCGCGATGGGCGCCTCTGGCCGCTCTTGAACGCAGTGTATGTCCGTTTGTCATATTTGTTATTACGTTGCTAGTCTTCAAAGGCTTAGATCTCAATGAAGTTTTAACAGGAGGTTCAGTTTGTACAGTGTTTTCAGTCTTGGGTGGTGTTGCAGCTATAATCCTGTAAACAAAATAGTGAATGTTAATAAAATTTGCCTGAGACAAGTGTTAAAGAAAAAAGGGGAAGGCAGTACAGGTACTGGCAAACATCTTGAACAATGACCTTGAATGCAACAACAACCCATCATATGTTCTACTGCTAGGCACGAGTCTCCTCCAAAGAGATTGTTGAGGCTATAGGTGGCCCAATATTGGTTGGAGACTTCATACCTTTTCCAGGGTTGTGAACCTTCTTTGGCAGACAGGTTTCATCACATTTTCCTTCACTATTAGTGCGAGGTATTGTTACTAAACATAAAAATTAAAGTCATAGGTACATGCCGCCTCAAGGATTCCGTCAACCTCGCAATCGAGAAGCAACTATTCACCCATTAGGCTGTCATCTAGTGGTTGTTGTCACGATGTAGATTATTTAATAATCTTAACTATAAAAATTGTGAACTCTTAATATACAATGCGCGACAGAGTTCATTATTTTTATAGTTAAAATGAAATGGCGATAAATAAAATGAAAAAATACAGGTTTTGTACATAAATGGAGTACTTAGTTGGCGATTGTTACACATAGGAAATGATACTATTTTATTGGATCCAAATGGTGCATAATTGGCTGACTGTAGTCAGCCGTGACCATAGGACCCAGAACATTGGTTTGTTTGTAAAGACAAATATATGCGATTTAAATTTGTAGCAGTAGAGCTCGTAGTAAAAGAGTTTATCCAGGAAATACTGCCACTATTTTGAAGGGTAAGAGTGTTGGTGAATTACAGGTACATGAGACTTGTCAACTTATGTCTCAGGGTGAGAGGCGCAGTCACATCTGTGCGATTTAAAGCTCTGAATGGCACCGAACTGTTATGGACAGGCGTGTAGTTTACCATCAGGCGCACGACTCGTTTGTCCCGTCGCTTGATATTATAAAAAAAATCCGAAAAAACTTTTATAAATTGTAACGAGTAGGAGTTTTAGTTTCAGATAATGATGCTTTTTTTTTTAGTACAATAAGGGCCCACCGTTAACCACAATCAAAACAGTAAAGTCAATATTTTAAATTTTTATTAAATAGATATTCAATTATTTTTTGTGAAATTACTCCACTAGTTTGTTATAATTATTAATACAAAGATCGAACACTCAGAAAAAATACCTTCGATCCGGCTGGATTCGAACCGACGTCTTCTAGCTTACCATGCCAGATGCTATACCAACTAAGCGACGGAACGAACAAGCGGACCTCACGAATGTTTCTATATGCTTGCGTCGCGTCTTTGTATTTGGTTTTTCAACGACTTTTTGGTCGTAGCGCCATTTATGATTTCTCATTAATTAAAATCAATATTAGCATGATTGAGGATCCAGCTTGCATAGAAGATGCCTATGTACTTATTGCACCCTTGAAGATATTATATGTTGTGTTATGTACACACCAAAATACAGATGCATGCATTATGCCCCACTTCCTGGCTGTGCATACTAACAAAGATGCTGCATTGCACTTCGCCATAATAGTTGATAATGGAATGCATGTGCAATGCATACATGATGTACATGTTACACTTTTATATGTCATTTTAAAAGTGTCCAAGTAAAAGCATTAGAAAAGAAGACATGACAATATAATAAATTTTATTTCACAATATAAAATGACAAAGATGACCTGCGCTTCCTATAGTTGCGAGTGGGCCGGACTGGTTGTTCCTCACACAGCTCGATGCGGTGTGGAGTCTTAACGCCTTCCTGGCCCGCCATCAAGCTATCAGCTATAACAAAAATGAAAAAAATAATAAGTAACATACTAGGGTAAAGGTGACAACAATAAAGAAGGGGGAGAGGTACCAGTACAAACAAGGTACAAGTATTATTCATAGTAGCTAGAGCACTCAAGTAAAATACAGAAAGATTGAAGATTAGCTGTAGTTGGTGTAGAAATTACTATTATAATAAAATGTACCCTATTATGTGTAATCTCCATCCAGGAAAAGAACAGAGTATAGTTGTTACAGACTCGGTTCCTTCGTATATTATATATATATTTTTTTCTTTGTTTGGTTGTCATGTTGATTGTTCTATACATATACATGTCAAGTGAAAAGTGGAGTTTTATTTTAGGAGAAATAAGTTAATTTGTGATAGCCACAACGTAAAAGCATCATCGGCATCAATAGTGAACAAATGAAGTCATTTTTTTAATTACAATTCGAATGGAGATGAATATTTTACCAAAAAAGTTGTTAAGTTTTGATTTACATGATAGTAAGGCAAACATTTAATGTATGTACGATGCTTTATCACCCTTTTGTGGTCAATAAGTTTTTGAGTTCGAAGTATGAAAAATTATATAATACATCATTATGCTATGACACTGAATATATTAAACTTGCCACAAATCTTCTCATTCTCAATTAAAAAAGAAAAATATGTAAAATAAAAATTATAATGTACACTTGGTACTTGGTGTAACGGGCTGGTGTCCGCAACTCGACGACAAGGCGCCTATTTTGCGTGTGGATAATAATAATATTAATAATAATAATATTATAATGTATATCTTAAATATATATTTTTTAAATATTATACTATGTTTTGTGATATTTTCTATGAGTGGCATGCTTTATTTGTGCAGATGTATAAGACACAATCATAATTATTTACTGTATTGCATAAAGAGACCCTTACATTAATGTTAAGCTTACATTGCTGTGTTCGTATTAATAAATAACTTCTTGTTGGTATGGTTTACTGCAATGTATGGAATGAGTAAATTATAACGAGATTTCAACTGCCTCTATAGATATTCAATTAACTATTTCCATAATTGAAACAATACACATTTCAAATTATGAAAGGTTTTTACAATAAATTCTGATAGCATCCATTATGCATGCATCAAAGGGAATCAACAATATTCATAATTTGTAATTGTATGTACTATGCTTAAATAGTTTTATATATCCATAGGTTTCTAGGTTATTTTATAGATTTCAAGGTAACATTGCTCGATGCACTTCTATTTTGTCTCTTATTATAATGTCATTACATCACTTGCAATAACTATAGGTGATCATTTCATTAATTTCGTAAAACTTAAATGTAACACCATTCTTCGTAGCGAGTGTCGCGTTCAGTTACCGCGGACAAAGGATACATGACTGATACGGGATCAGAAATATTTCATAAAATTTTATAAAATTCAAGCAAATACACTATACTAACCTCTAACCATTTCCACTTGAACTTGAAAATCACAGGAAAATAAACATAGAACACCATCAGAGAAGTGGCCTAACCTGACCCAAACAAAACCTGATTGACCAACGACTCGAGTTACCAATCTTTTGTAATAGACCTTGTCATATTAGGATCGCACGAAATATCATGTGATTCCACTCGTGGATGTCACGAATTGAACATCATAAAACTATTTCTAACGTTCTGTACACGATGAACTGTCAATAATCACTCACTACATTTAGTAATTAGTAAACCCATAACACATTTTATTTAAAAATGCCAAGAAGACGGATAAAACTAACTTCAGAAAATGGACGCTTGTTTTTCTTTTTTTTTTTATGAGTGACTGTTCTTGTGTGTCATTGGAGGCTCGTCTGATTTTGTAACCAATCAATTTAAAATATTTGTCCATAGATAAACTCAAACGTTCTGTTCTTATTTGTTAAATTAAAAGTATAAATTTATGGTTAATTTAAATTAAATCGTCAATAAACATTTACATACCAATACTTTGCAATAATATTGTTCTGAATGTACGTTAAGCCGGGACGATATTGTTATTACTTATCATAGTCTTCTTGTTATACACTTGGCACTCATTCTCAGAATCCAGATTTTATTATATTAAATTATGTAGTCTCTTTTATTTTTGTCTAATATCTTCATTAATTAGACGTAATACTGTCAAATTATAAATGTACAGGTACATACCACTATACCTTCCACATTTACATTTCAAAATGGTATTACTATCCATTCTAAAATTTCATTCTCTACTGTCGATATCCGTTAAGTTTCACCGCTTTCAATCCAAACGTGATCCAAACAAACTCAGTGAAATGTTATGTGCAGAAAAATGAAGAAGATAAAGAAAAAAAATTAATTGTAAACTGTATGGCTTGACGCCAAAGCCGTTAAAATTATAATTTAAAAAACAATTTAAAGTTGTGTATGGCCAAACTATTCGTTTCATTGGTAATGTACAATATACCGCGCATAAACATAGATTATTCTTAATCGTAATGCAGCATGTTCAGAGCAATAAAGGTCAAATTTTTGAAAATAACACGTCTGTCGTGCGCGTCGATTGGATAACCAATGGATGGAGCTACATTTTCACTAGCAATATACAAATATTGTTCCAAAAGCGGTTTTTAAATGAAACTATGGAACAGGCACACTCTGGTGTGGATGGAATCCGAACGAAAATATTATCGTTTTTCTTTTTCACTCCTTGAAGTTTTACCTTCAATTAGAAAGTGATATAAAATCCTATGAAATAAGTTTTATACGGTAATAAATTGTTGTAATTCCCGCCAAAACGAACCGAATAATTCTGTAATAAATAATTTTTATTATTAGTCATTTAGTATTAGTAGTGTTTATTTAAGTAGTTTAATTTAATCAAAATGCAACAATGGATAAAAGCAGAGTTTGCTACGTGTGGGATCAAGATTTGATTCAACAATGCGATTGTCTGCCAGCAGTAATTGGGCGTGTATGTGTCATATGTGTTTTTCTGTATAGAAATCTCAATGCAAAATATGATTGCTTATAACAATGTTTCAGGCATCTCTTGTGCACAGCTTAATCTCAAGCTACGGTTTACTACAGCATTTGAAGGTGGTTCGATCATCACCAGCGACGTATAAAGATTTAAGAAAATTTCACTCAGAATTGTACATAGACCATTTAAAAAGTTTCTCTGCGATTGATGACGATTACATGACTAATGCCCAGGATGAAGAATATGGTATAGGTAGGTAGACCATAAAGCAAGGTAAAGGATCTGTGCTCAACTGTAGGCCTTGTGAGTACAAATTTGTGCAGAATACATTGTAAAAATAACAGATGTAATTAGGTACTGCTCATGGGTTAGATATAGTTAGGTTCTGATGAAAGAAACAAATAAAAAGCAGTTATTTTCCTTTTGTATTTGCCAGTGCTCTGACTGAAGCTAAAATAAATAAATGTACCAAAGAATCTATTTTCACCCTTGGATATAATCCTTAAAAATAATTGCTCTTCAATAAATGTGAATGAAACTCACTTGCATACGCTCATACAATCACATGTATAGTTTTAAAATTCTTTACTTACACCTTTTACTGTTTTTTATGCTTTGAATTTAACCTCTCCAAGATGGTATCGAAGAGTAGTTGTCCTTTGTGAGAGACCTGGTATCCTCCAGTGTCTTGCATGCATAATGTAAATATAAGTTTTGTCTACTATATTTTGGTTCATGTACAGCTGTTATATTTGTAGAGAAATTAAATATTATTATTTGCTTGTACATTTCAGGATATGATTGTCCACCAGTATCAAACATGTTTGAGCTGATATCATCAATAGCTGGAGGTTCCATAACAGCTGCAAAGTGCCTGGTAATGGATATAGCTGATGTTGCCATCAACTGGTGCGGGGGGTGGCATCATGCACAGAGGTGAATAGAAATTAATTCCATTACATCAAGTAGCCTCTACTCCATCCGTCTTCGGATATAGGCCTCCTCCACATGTCTCTATTTACGTCGATCCCGTGCCACATGCATCCGTTGAATATTCTTATGCTATTCCTAACATTGCTCTTTCCATTGACCTCTGTGCAATCCGTAAGTTCTCTGCAGACTTCTTCATCGGTCGTTGTTTCCATGCGATAAGGTGGTTACTGGCAGGACACACTGGTTGAAGACCGTAGTCTTTAGCCTCTGCGGTATGTGTTTGCATTGCAATATTTACTGGTTGGCCCCAAAAGCTGACCAAGCTTGTGCTATGCGCTTATCAACCTCCGCAGTTTGGTTTAATTGGCCCAAAGTTATTTTGTGTCCTAGATAAATGTAGTAGTCAACAACATCAACAGGCATTTGATGAAATCTTACTCCTGGAATGTTGGACATAATTTTTGTTTTTGAGATGTTCATTTTTAGACCCACTTGTGCGGACTCCGTTACATACTGCCTGGTAAATATGAGTATTTCCTAAATCGATGGTTAAGATCACTGTAGTAGAAGTAGTAACATAGTGTAAGACAAGTAATGTAATTTTATACAAACATAGCAGAGAGACTTGTATGCATGCACGCCCGATGCGCACCATGTGCAGATGCACACATTTGTATGCTCTCAGTTAATTCGCATTATATACCCAATTGTTCAGCATTTAATTTCTAGTTTATAATCAGTCTCATAATCGAGATACCAATCCGCGATGCTCAGACAAATCTTTCAAAATGGAAGTTTTGCCCTTAGCAAAGGTTATTTCAATATTGCATGAGAATACTGTGAAGAACACCTTAATTTTTCCCAAATTATGTTTGTAAAATAACTTGTAGGTACAACTAAAATAATAATGCGACAATCGAGAGAAGTGTAGACATTAACACGCCGAACAGGTGGAAGTTGCACTACTTATTAAGCAATGGTAGTAATGTCTATTTGATTTTTAAAAATTTTAATTTCAGATTTGCTGCTGATGGATTTTGTTACGTAAATGATATTGTGATAGCTATTGAAACTTTAAAAATCAAATTTTCTAAAGTACTTTACATAGATTTGGATGTTCACCATGGTAATAGACTTTTTATTTTTGTTTATTAAGAAAAAATGTATAAGAACATTTAGTAGATATTTCTATTTTATAGGTAATGGAGTCCAAGATGCTTACAATTTAAGTAAATCAGTCTTTACACTATCATTTCACAAATATGAGCCAGGCTTTTACCCTGGCACAGGAAATATTGCTGACATCGGCACTCATACTGGTACGGGATATTGTTGCAATATACCTTTACGAGCTGCTTATTCTGATGATACTTTAACATGTATGTTTAAAAAGTGAGTATGACCAAAGCAAAAGTCTCATTTATTAGAATTTGTTCATAATACTTTTTTTTTTTTTTATAAGACCAAGTGACGGGACGAAGATACCATGCGGCAGTTGGTAATTAAGCGACATGCCTGTCTATAACAGTTGCAGTGCCACTCAGAGCTTTATATTGCAAAGATCAGAAGTGGTAGACGGGGCGCAGTTAGCGCGGGCGACATAAAACGCGAGATACTGCTATTCTCGCATAAAGATCTCGCGCTTTGTGTCGTTCTTGCACCTTGTTGTGCTACTAGCCTAACTGAGGAGTACTGCTATTGCGCCCTCACCCTAACACATGAGGTGATAAGTCTCATCTGCCTATAATTTCACCAGTACCCATACCCTTCAAAACCGGAACGCCATAAAGCTCGCGTAACCTCGGCGGCAAAAATAGGTGAGGCGGCAGTACTTCCCTGGACGAACTCTTTCACGAGTAGTTCTACTGCTACTAAGATAACTCTTTCCACCTAGCTTTGCCAGGCGTCCAGATATGATTAGGCTTTTTGGATGCGTATCCAGTCAAATTATACTGTGTCCGGGTTGTTCAGCTTTCGTTAAGTTTTTTAATTTTTCGTCAACCAGACCAGAGCAGTCACTTGGTCGGGCAAGCGGGTCTCTATCAAGACTGATTTATTAAATTTTATTGGTATTTCATTAGAATTTGAGACGTTCTGACGAATGATCAATTAAGCCTAGTTTTACGCTTAATAGTAAAAAATGTAGGGTATGTCCGGCTTAACTGGCTGGTATGTACGGTTATTCGGTTTTGTGACCTAACCATCCTAGTAACACAGATTTTTTTTTTCAGTGTATTCACTAAAGTTTATTCCTTATTTAAACCGGATGCAGTCGTCGTCCAATGTGGCGCGGATGCCTTAGCTCACGATCCAAACGGAGGCACATGTTTGACTATTAAAGGATACACTTTATGTGTGCAGAGCGTTCTCGATAAACGGATACCTACTATTTTATTGGGAGGAGGTATTTGTCCATAATTGCTTCTTAATTCCCATAATTAAGTCGTACTAAAGTAAAAGCGCGGGAAAATAAGATTTTTTTCTTTTTTTCGCACTTCTAAATTTAGCGCGCAAAAACTTTTATTTCTTTTTTCAATGGCTTTTCGCGGTTAGCGTTTCAGCCTTAGCGGATGGGAAAAGAAAAGGAAGTTTCAGCCACTTACAAGGTTTGTGACTTGTTTTTGGCACGGGGAAACTTATATCATATTTAATGAAATTTGAACGGGATTATAAAGTTTGAGAACGAGTGCAAGTATTTTTCCCATAGACGTCATGGTGACGTTTGATCTCATTTTTCTAAAGGCACAGATCGAAATTCAAATTTGGGCTTTGTTACAACCCAACCTATAGAATTGTGTTTTTTCTGCTAGTTTCTTTCATGGATGGAAACGGTGCAAACATTGTGCAATTTGAGTTGATGCTGAGAAAGCTTCGCCCTCTGCGCTAATTAATACATTAATGTCGATTTAATCTTACAGTCACCTTTCGCCATGGAATTATGGCGAAAGGTGACTGTAAGATTAAAAAAAAAACAAGTAGGCAAACGGCTGTTACGTCGTTGCATCGGTACAATTATTGTAACGGTTGTCACTGAATGCTTCAGTCCTTGTTTGTTACAATTTTTTTTCTCAACAGGAGGTTACAACCACCCAAACGCTGCGCGACTATGGACAAGTCTCACGGCCCTCACGATAGGAAAGACTTTAGATGAGGATATTCCCGATCATAGCAATTGGCCAAGCTATGGACCAACATACACTCTGAGCGTAGAGCCTACTTTGATGAAAGATACGAATAAACAAAGTTACCTTGATGAATGTATACGCATAATCAATGGTGGGTAACATAACATCTTAAGTAACAATAAATGTTCGTTGAGTGAAAATTATACCTTTAGCAGAAGAAACAATTGCAGAATAGATCTCTCATCTACAGAGAGAGAAATACAGTGAATAACGACATCTCTTGCCAGGACCGGTAGATGTAAAGGTATCTAACTGGGTGATAAAATTTTCATAGATTTCTCATAGATGGCGCTACGACTAAAAAGTCGTTGAAAATCCAAATACAAAGACACGACAACAAGCACATAGAAAAATTCGTGAGGTCAGCTGGTTCGTTCGATACCTTTACAGCTACCGGTCCTGGCGAGAGATGTCGCTATTCACTGTATTTTAAGGCGATTATCACACTGCACCGCGACCCGCGACGGAGCGCGGAGCTGCGTTTTTTAACGTTGTGCTGAAGTACCTCAGTTTGCATGGAAAACACGCGCCGTCGAACACACTGACAACGCGAACCGTGTGGTATGGCACACTGCGCTCCGCACTACCGCGCAGGTATCTTCATATTTTCTTAAATCTTTGTAATGAAGTTGAAATTATCCATTTATCGATCTGGTTCGTAAAAATGGATGTATCCAATATCTTCGGTGTCTTTTTATTTGAGTAAATAAAACCCAAATCGACAGTATAACTGCAGCGTCCTGAATGAGTTCTGTATTATTAACCATTCTTGACAAAGAAGGATCTCGGCTACATACACAATGACTACGGCTATCAACTGCGAAGCGAGTACTTTCAAGTGACGCGGGGCCGCTAGAGACCGCTGCCCCCGTGCAGATTAAATCGCGCGGTGGCGGAGACGAATCGCGCGTTGACGCAGATCTGCGTCTCCGCCACCGCGCGCGTGATTCCGCCTAGTGTGATAATCGCCTAAATTTTTATTGAATTGATATTCAATTATTTTTTGTGAAATTACTCCACTAGTTAGTTATAATTATTAATACAAAGATCGAACACTCAGTAAAAATTCCTTCGATCCGGCCGGATTCGAACCGACGTCTTCTAGTATACCGTGCCAGACGCTATACTAAGCCACGGAACGAACCAGCGGATTTCTATGAGAAATCTATGAAACTTTCATAGATCAATTCAATAAAAATTTAAAATACAGTGAATAGCGACATCTCTCGTCAGGGCGGGTAGCTGTAAAGGTATCTAACTGGGTGATAAAACTTTCATACATGGCGCTACGACTAAAAAGTCGTTGAAAAACCAAATACAAAGACAAAGCACATAGAAAAATTTGTGAGGTCCGCTGGTTCGTTCCAAGGCTTAGTTGGTATAGCGTCTGGCACGGTATGCTAGAAAACGTCGCGTCGATTCGAATCCGGAGGCCGGATCGAAGGAATTTTTTCTTAGTGTTCGATCTTTATATTAATAATTATAATAATATGACAATTGTTACTAAATATTACTTGCAAAGATAATCCAGAAACCATTGTTGGCATATTCTAAGCGCCTGGAAAATCGTATTGTTAGCAATTACACATTAACAGATAAACTGTCTTTTTAGAAGATACCGTCTGCAAAAACGTTTTATTATTATTTTTAAATAACTTTTTATTGAAGCTTCCTAAAAGAGTGAAAAAAAAGTATGTTTAGGTAGAAATTAGGTAGTAAATAGTTATACAAAAAAGTAAATTATATACTGCTAAAACCATAAAAAACGTAGTGGTCCAGCCAAACTGACGTCAGAATGGGAATATTTCCGTTAGCGCAAAATAAAGATAGTAAATAAAAGAAAATAGGTAGTAAATAAAGACCAGTTTTATTTGTATATCTCGTTCGGTCCAGCCATCCTGACGGATACCATTTCAAAAATAAATGCCTTGCATTTAACATAAGAAAGTAGACATGGTGGTCACATGATGAGTACACACATTCAGTAATCGGGTATTACAAAGAACTGTAATAATTTGTAAAGTCGCGACAACAACTGCCTCCGTGGCCGAACGGTTACCATGCCGGACTGCCACGCAGACGTCCCAGGTTCGATTCCCGGGAAATATTTGTATGGCCTAAATTTATTTCTCTCGTGCGTTTGGGTGTAATTTGTGATTGTCTATACACATAGACACACGTCCATGGCACCCGCGACATAGGGTTTCCCTAGTGCGGGGCTATGTTGAGTGTGCACGTTATTATTATTATTATATTATTTATAATGGCGCCACACAAGTATGACATATTATTAGTGGTCGTTTGCTAAAAAGAGACCAAATTTCAACTGGTTTTATTTGATGTAATAAAACTCATTTCAGTTAGAAGTTTTTGGGTTTCCGCGATTGTTACACATTGGAAATTAAACTATGACTATATGATGATATATGATTTCGGAAACTTGTTTCTGACTCGTCAGCCGTGATCATGGGATCTGTAAATGGCCCGAAACATCGGTTAACCAATTTCAGCCTAATTTTTAGCATGTTCTAGTGAGTTCATCGAGACAATATAAACATTTCAAATGCCCTAAAACGTGTAGAATAAACAATAATTTAAATATGTCGGTTGTACACACTACCACTTTTTATAATGCTGCTATGATAAACACTTTTAAAAGGTGTTTTAGCATTTCGGGATACCTCTAAGCACTTACAAGCAAAATTATAATGTTCTAGGTCACCTTGACAAATATTTACCTAATGAAGATATTGAAACAAAGAGAAGAAAGACTGACAACATAACGAAAAATCCAGGTATTTCCAATCATCAGAGAACTCAAGCATCAACTTCCAAAGATTGTATGAATAAGGATTATAAAAGGAATAAGGAATATTTTTGCACTAATGGTTTGTTACAAATGACTACGCAATCTAAAGATGTGTACGAGTTTACCGATGACTGATCTTGCAAGTGCTTCATGCCCCAAAAATTCGTACACATGAAAATATATACTCAATTCAGAAAAAGCTTTGTTTTTTATGTATGTACTTAATATTTTTTCTCCAATTGTAATTGTAATTTGTAATTTGTACCCAACACTTACATGTAAAACTTGACAAGAAATTGCAACGTGATTGCAACAAAATGACATAGGACCGGCGCGGACAATGTTATGTTAATCTCTAAGTAAGAATTTGTCATTCAGTATTTCACTAAGAATTGTTAAAAGAGAAAATTATTGCGCAATCTAAACATAATTGTTATGTACAAGAATATTTGGCACCGTATGGGCTGTGCAGTGACTATATAACACACTCTTCAATGTTATAGGTAAACGTAGGTATGTACATTTTGACAAAACAATACAATGTATTGTTTTTTTGTAAAATAGAGTCACCAAACGACTATAACTACTAGTGGTAAATTAAACTGTCGACTACAGTTCGCTTAATTTAAACTGGTCTGCCAGGTCTACAGGTACTTCTATTAAATGTTATAGGATTATCGAAATAATTGAAAAGCACGTGTTTAATTTGACCGGCAAATTTCGATGGAAATAATCGATGATTCCGCCAGGAAAACACGCCACTATACTTAGAATTAGACCAGAGTGTGAATTTTGAGGTCTACGAGTAAAAACTGACTGTTAGAGCAAAAAGCAATAAAACTCACGTTGTGATGTAATTTTATCGTTGTTTGCATGAGCGCCATCTAGTTTGGTTTTTGATATCAATAAAAGTTATCGAGTTTTGGTACAGTATTGTTTTCAAGTTAAAGATTATTTTTGAAGTAGCATCTGTAGCAACAGTTGACATTATGAAGGTTGCGATATTTTTAGGGGTGACGGCTCTCGTCCTCTTGCCCTCGGGCACAGTGTATTAGGAGAAATAAATTCACATGTGGAATTAGGAAATCATTTTCGAAGAAATAAAAACTTTTTAGGGAGAAATTGACGTCAATCGAGTATAAAAAAGTAAATAATGATATATGTATAGGTTATTCCGAAAAGTATGCGAGATTTTTAGAGGCAATTGTACGTTTTTTTAGTTACCTGTATAATTATTACCCTGTATACAGGCTGTATATTTGAAAGCGAGACATATTCATACATGTCATAGTAAATCATGTTACAACTTAACATAGGCTGAAATAAAATTAGGATATGGGATACAACACAAAAAAAAACAACAAATGTATTTTGAAGTGTACATAGGAATAAACTGATTCCCTTTACGCTTGATTTCGAGTGCAATGGGATTACTACCAAGCGAGCGCCGAGTGAGACAGCAACAATAACAATGATTTCACATTTACGTTTTAGCTTATGTTAATTATTTTTTACTTGAACTGTCATCGAAATGTTTTACGTACTAAAAAAGATAAGTTTATGATTTAGTAACTACTTATAATTTAATAAGAATTGAGGTTTTTGGCTTAGTTAAACATGTGAAATCAAATGATTTACAATGATTGATTTTTTACTTATTTACAGTTTATTTACACTTACGTGGTACGCAGCAAGTGTTCAAAATGTCCACCGTTTTCCACAATGCATAGTCTAGTACGGCATAGTAAATTTTGTTTTAAATTGTATAACACAAACACATTTTGTCTCATAGTATAAAATGCTGAGATAATCCTCTTACGCAACACTTCGACACTGTTCACCTCCTCCGCGTAAACTCCGATTTGGGAACATTTCAATAGCTTGCCTCACACTATCACCACTTATTGAGTAAAGTCGCACCATCTCAGTCAATTCGACGTTAGAATAAATATCCATTTTGCGGCGATCGGGCGAGCGGAAGTACAAATAATTTACGTGTCTTCGTTAGATCAAGGTTGCGCGTGCACTGTCTAAAGTTGCAAACACCAATTTCGCGTATACGCCCGCGCCCCCACCCCCACCCCCGATCTGTGCTTTGTTTTTCGCCGCCGTGCCGCCACCCGCCGCTGCGTCGGAGCAATAATAGTGATGTGCATAGATTTCGATAACTAATGTTGTTCTCAAGTAGTAGTCGATAAAATAAAATAAATATTTTTTGTAAAGTTTAAGTTCATTAGTTTACTATTTCTTTGGGTTCAGAATCAGGAATATAACGCACTCTATAAGTATGTTTTATTGCAAGAAAAATCAAAATATTTGAAATAAAAACGAAAATCTTGTGACTTTTTTATTAAACATATTCTTTATACTGATCAATAAAATAAAAAGAATAATTAGTTCTACTCGGCGTAAAATAAATGAGGTTTTTGATTCTATAGTGAGAAACCTTAGAAAATTGGGCTATTGAAAAATCATTTTGATATTTCGAGTTTTCAATTATGAAATATTTCATACGAGAATCGTACCGTAAATACGTTTAATGGAACTGGTTGTTACTAATTTCTTTCAAGACTTAGATGAACTACACTAGGATTTCGCATTGGACCACTGGCTGTGGCATATTAAAGTAAATATGCAAATTTTTGAAGTTCCATTTTTATTGTAGTATTTATACGCCGTGCAATAACCGTGTAGTTTCACAGATTATTAAGTGTTTTTGGGTTGCTTTTGCCAACACGCTTCAGTACCACGATTATCTTTATTTGATATTTAGATTATATTATTTGATATTTTTTATTAGTCGAGACCTAATAAAAAATGTCAAAGCAATGTACGACCAACTATTACATTATCTTTTGCAAACCTAGGCTTTTTCGCTATGTGGCTCAATTATCCAACCATAACGCATAACTCGACCTAGGGTCGGATATGGAAAGAACTTTACGCGTGAAGCTTAGTTACATATTACTAAGTCAGACCCTCCCGAAGTTCACGAGTTCAAAATTTGTGTGCAATCGTTGTGATGAATTATGGATTCGATGTTATTTAGTACAGGCGCATTGCTGAAGCGTGCTGATAAAAACTTAACCCCTAATCATCATGGGAACGCTCGTCATCACGACGTCGGTTACGCTGACGGCGGTTCCAACCCTCGCGAGGGCGTTCACGCTGCCTGCCTTCGCCTCGTCCAGCTCCGCCTCTCTGGAAGAATGAACCTTGCTTCTCGAAAATACGTTCGTTCGAGTCTACTAAATTGCCAACCTAGAGAGATAGAGAAGATTTACATAAATTATTACAATACCACTATCCTATGTGTTTTTAATTATATTACTTTATGCAATATCATTTATAACTTTTGCTTTGTTGTATGTTCGAAAATATGGAATAAAAATTTTGTATTATCTACAAATGTTGAAAGAACTTGTGTCACATTTTCATGAGATAGGTATAAACTTCACAGGCAATAAATAAATTAGTACACACCTTATCAGCAAGCTGAAGCGCCAGTGCTTGCATCCTAGTAGGTTCAGAACGATGCAAAATAGCACATTCACTAGGATCATCAAGTGAAGCTAATAATTCCTCATTGATTATCATTTTGGAGACGAGTGAATGCACACGTTGTCTCGGTAGCTCAAACATATCAGCCAGTGAGCGCAGTGATAGAGAAGCGTAGACGTGTGCATAGGTGAACAAGTATGTACGCAGTGATTCTTCACGGATCAAACGCCCTAGCATCGCCCTTACGTTGTCTGCGCCCACCATAAGGTCCCATACCTGCAGTTATTTGAATGAAGTCACGGTTAAGATTAAAATAGCACAAATTAATAGACTAGCGGGCTAGGTGTTCATTGCCTCCCCGGAAGTGTGGTCATATATCAATTTTATTGTGGTACAAATAGTTCTCTCTTCTACTATTGAAAGGGGCCCTAAGAGTGCCCAACACTGTGACAAAAAGACTAACCACAAAATAAGGTTGATTATTGAAAACATTTACCTTAGCATTCATCTTCTCATTAACAATAAAGTTGAGGCAGGCACGCCAGTCGCCACGACGCATCGCCCTCGCAGCAGCCACGGCGTGTTCGCGCATAGACTCTGGCGGGCCCACTAACGCCTGCCGCTCACTTGCGCGCAAATTCTGGTAGAAAGTCTTACTGATCATACGCCGTCGTGCGTCGAACTCATGCGCAGCCATATAAGGAATTTCAATCAACATCGCTGATACCAAGTACACACACTCCAGCAATTCTAAGTTAATGTGCATGTGGAACGGCATTTGGCGTTGCTTTTCTATTTTTTCTTGCTCTTTTGAACGCTCGTGTTGTCTTTGAGGAAGTAAACCCTGTGCAAGCAATTCTTTAGGCTTGCCAGTCATCATCAGCTCAGCTAAGCAGCCGTGAGCTTCTTTTACGTTACCGCGGCGGAAAGCGCACAAACCTAAATTAGCCATAGTACGATTGTATAAAATCTGTGTGCTGGGATCAGAATGTTGGACTGTCTCCTGCAAATGCGACATCAGGAGCAGATCGCGTGCCTGGAACCAGTTGTCGTGCAGAGCGTGGTGATAAATGTGTGACAGAATAGCACGAGTTCTAAGACGATCAGTTTCATCATGAGCGTAAACGTATTTGCAGAGACGTTCCATTTTCTTAATGCTGGTCTCTTCACCAGGTGGAAGATCTTTGCGCACGGCGCGCGGGTCAAATTTGTAATATAAATGATCAATCTTGCGCAAATAAGCGCGGCAAATTTCTTGCGGAGACCCATCTCGCTCGACGACTTGGCACACTCGGTCAATCAAAGCGGAAACGCGCACTTCATCTTTCAACCTTTCCACGTATTCATTAGAATGAGGATCACACTCCTTCAGCAACTTGGTGAATTCATCATCGAGGCGTTCCAACGCAGTCAGCACGCACCCGCGTACGCGATAAGGGGGAGTAACAAGCTGCTCATTTTCTTCAGTAATAGTCTCGCTTAGCATCATATCTTCATTAGCTAAAAGGATTGTCACCATGTGGTCGACGTTTTCAACTAATCTAGACCAGTATTCAGGCTTCATGGCGTCCGATACTTTCGGGTTGTAATCAAAAAGTGCAGCGACTGTTGCGGCGCGAAGTTTCAGCTGTAGAGCATCGCCCAAATTGTGTTGTTGGGCGACCGTACGCAATTCGTGAAGGAGTTCAAGTTGCGCACGACGGTCGGTGCGCTTGCGGCCTCGGGCGGCGCTGATCTCGCCCAATTTTTTCACTACAAGAGCAGCATCAATGTCACTGTCCTGTAAATACAATGATTAACTTTAAAACAAGGCACAAAACTATTTAACGACATTCTTGTATCTAGAAAATTTTATTTTCATAAGCTGAGAATAATTATTTACAGCCTACACTATATGAAACTAATGGCATGTAGGACTAACATACAAATAGTAGTAATAAAAAACTTGCCTTAGCAAACATCTTAGGCTTATCAGAAGTTGCAGCACCTTTCCTAACAGTCTCCCATTCTCCACCATCATCAGCCTGGTCTTTCTTGCTGATTTTACCAGCTCTCTCGCGGCGCTCAGCCTTCCTGGCACGTCTCCGGTCTGCTTTTTCTTCATCTTCCTCTTTTTCTGTGGGTCTCTTCAAGAACCGCTCACGCAAGTTGGTGACTCCAGGCGTTTCATCATCAGAGCTAGAGCTAGAGTCAGAGGAGCTAGAACCCCAATCCATGGAGTCAGAAGATTCGTCTTCTTGCGGTGGAGGGCGGCGGGGTGGCTCTGGTGAGCGGCGCACTCGTGGCTTCTCCTTAATTTTGTCTTCATCTTCTGACTCATCTGATGATGAGGTATCTGTTATAAAGAAGGAATTTGTTGAGTAGTACAGTGTACTTTCAATGTGCATAAATATAAATAGTAATAGGAAAAAGATTGTCATGCAGATGATGTAGCAAACAAAGACTAATATTGAGGAGAAAGCCACCTCCATCATAGAATGTAAACTAAAAGCTATTCTCTTCTAGAACACAAAATCACCTAGAAATAAAATATTAAATAGGTTGATGAAGAAAACATTAACGGGCCTATTGGGTAACTGAAGTAATTCTATGAATGGTGAAAGAGGATGGTTAAGATGTGAATTCACAGTAGTGGACCATGAGTGCGTTATGCATAAAACTTGAAGTTTACGAAAATAAGAAGTATAGATAACATGTCACCAGACATGATAGATATCACTAGAAATATTAAAGATTTAATTGGTGCTGATATGGCAACAGCTGGAGGATGACCTGTTACATGAGTAGTGAAAAACTGCTAAAGATAATGATATGTGGATGTTTCTGAAGGAGACCTATATACCTATATCAATGTGACAATATGACTACGCAAATATTTCAATAACTAATTATTATATTATGTTCTGTAGTTACATGAAAATGTTAACAGTGAAGCCAGTGAACAAATGCAATGTTATTTTATTTAGAGTAGAAATAAGGATATCTCTTTTAATTTTTTTAAGAATGCATTAACTGTCTGTAAATAACAAATATGATTAAAGCAGTTTCCCACCTTTCTTCTCATCATCATCATCGGGTAAATCTGGATTTTCACGGAACTTAGAAACCTCAGCTTCAAACTCTTTAGTATACTTTCTTAGTTTTTGTCTCAATGAAGTAAGTGCTTTGCTATTTCCTTTAGATAATGTCTTTCTGCTGTCACGGTCGGTCCATGCCCCGGAGACCCAATCATCCAACTCTACCAGAGCCCTTACAAAGAACCGTGGTGCTATTCCACTCTCTTCTTTTTGTACAACTGGTGCAGCCCTAGTGTATGCTTTTTGCAGATCCTCAAAAGATGCCAATGCAGATGAAAAATCTTTGATCTTGCGGTGATTTCGGAGTGAGTGAATGATACCCTCAAGCTCTTCATATCGTTTTTCCTTTGTGGAACGGACTACACGCTTTGTTTCTTCTTCATCATCACTGAACTATTCAACAAAATTATCATATTATATTTTGATAATAAAATTAAATACTAACCTATTAAATATGGTCAACTAATTGGGGTAATAGTAATATAATTTAAAAAATCAGAACAAATGGACAAGGTTATAAGAGGTGGATAATTCTTAAATACTTAGATATTAAATATTATTTTCACTGACACACTAGTGATTTTATATTTTAACTATAATTTGCTTAGTTAAATATGTGAATAGTCTCTTTGAATATGTCACTAAACACTTGAGATAAATCTGGCATAAATACTTTCATTTACGGTCTAGCATATCAACTCACTATATGCACTGGTACATCATAAAGGTAACTTACAGTGTAAACAGGCGCTGCTGGGCGCACTACCTGCTCTTCTTCGCTCGAACTTTCCGACTCAGAGTCTGTACCAGTTGCAAAAAATCGACTCATGATTACTTCGTCACACTAAATTACCTGCAGACAAATGACGGTTGATTTTATTTTATTTTATTACTGTTACAGTCAACTATACTAGTGCTTTTTTAAGTCGAAATATAAATTTAAATACTAAAAGTACAGCTAATTACCAACAAATACAATTGTGTCAAGGGTTATAACAAAGTTTGAGGTTAAGGCTTTTGCTCTAACCTGTATAACAATAAAAATACCTTTTATTAAAAATTAAATGTGTGGATTCCTTCTGAATACTGAGAATAAGTGATAAATTCATGAATTTTTCTTCCAAAGTGCGTAAAAACACAAGTATTCCACTGTGCCCACGACGCACTCCACGTTAAAAGAAATTTGTCTATGGTCATGTGTCGGTCTCTAGCCATTAAAATATTTTTTTTGTCCGTTCGTTCAAAAAGCAGGCCAGAATTAAATACTATACTGCCTCGTCTGCAGTCGTGGTAGCCATTATATATTTTTTGTTCTTGGCCTTACGGCACAAACTAATAAGAGATACTACGTATGCCTTACGGTTAGCGATTTAGCGTTACACGCAGCCATTAATATCTAACATGCGCTTTATTTGTGTAGAAACTTTAGGCTTGGCGTCAGCCAATGCCTCAAGCATATCAATCCTGGCAAAGTATATAATATTTTGAGTAAATATTTTTCATGTCAGCTCTCTCCGACGTGCAAACAAGCCTAGACTAAAGAGGCTACTTATATACGATGCTTGAGAAAGAACGAAGCAAGGAGATGCGATTATTTGGGTGGTTAAGTATTTTATTTTCTATGCAGTAATTAATTGTTGTAAGAATTATTAACATATTAAAAACAAATTAAGTTGGCTACACTACGAATAAGCTGCCACCAGTAGTGTTGGGTCATGGACAAATTTCCATTTTGAAAAATCATATTTTTCCTGATACTTGGTACTTGGTACTTGGTGTAACGGGCTGGTGTCCGCAACTATTTTTCCTGATATTTTTCACTTAGTTTCGTCCACGTTTGACATTGATATCTGTCAAAAGTTGAGATTACTGAACGAAAACGATGGAGCCACTAAAAAGGTCGTTTTCGCTTTTGTGACATCATTTTAATCTCTTTTTTAAAGTAGCTTTTAACTAAAAAGGTTTATTTTATAATTCACGCTAAATAAAACTTCAAGAGATATTTCTAAACGTAGAACACAACGTGAGTCTTCGAAATTATATTTTTCGAATTTGTCCAATATTTCGGGATTTTTCCGGAAAAATTTCCACTATTTAAAATTTTACGGAAAATGACCCAACAGTACCACCAGCTGAAGGACTTACGGATTTTTCGGATATCTGTTTTGGCGTCTCTAATTCATGTATCCTCATCTCGCGGATTCGCTCTGGGCCTTTTGGAGGGAAAAGTGTCGTTTTTATTTTGACTTTCAATTATTTTGAGAAATCTAGTTTAAAGTGGAATTGGATAGCGCTATTGTGCCTTAGTCGAAGATTAAAACGCGAAATTATACGAATCTCGAACTAAAGTACCCGTATCGGCCCGTTCTAAGGAATCCCGAGTCAATCCAAGTACGCCGCCTCAAATTGCCTATCCTCTTTGTGGCGGCCATATTTACAGAAACGTAATAAACTTCATGTTTAGGCTGATGTAGACATGGGGAATAGCGTTACATTTCTATCGCCGTGACTGTCGTTCCGGTTCCAAAAAAATCACTTTTGTCACGACTGCTACTTCCGTCACCTTGTCACGCCTATAACTTACATCACGATATACGGTTTTAGCCAGCGGCTTCTTTTTAATACTTATAGCCATTTTTTATAGAATGATTTAAGTTTTTACTCCCTTTGTAATAATTTCAATTCCACTCAAAAAGCTGATTTTGTATTTAATGTAATTTTGTTTGTTACTTATGTAATGCGAATCTTTGGATTGTTAAAAATAGCAATAAAGTGTAATGTAATTATATTTCTAGTAGAATACACGAAGTAGATTATATATAAATATAAAATACCAACTCTTCCTATAATACAACAAATATACAAAAATATGTTACTTTGTTAATAAATAGGTATATAGTCACTGCTGCAGATTTTTTTCATCCGCCCTTTCTAGTTGTAATAAGCACCTACGATCTTTGTGAGTGAGCAAAGAAAGTCATCCTATCTCACTCACTCCCATCGCCGAAATGGCCCGATTTGAAGAGAACTACAACGAGTGGCGCGCTCAGTCACCACGGAACGGAGATCGCGCATTGTATCAAATACGTATGTCGTGATGTGAGTGACGGGGATAGCCACTGGAACAGAGGAACACCTATGTGACTTTGGAACGTCGTTCCTTCGGAACGAGTCACGGTGATACTGTTTGACGGCGGATCATCGTGATTTTTTCATCGTGACGTTATTTATCACCCACCTCTAGGCTGATGGCTTTGCCAAAGCCTTAATAAATAAAAAATAAAAAATTCTCATCTCGCCTCTCACTTATCTATGAATTTTGACAGCTTCTTGAAAATGGTGGTTGGTTTTGTCTTGGAAATAAAAAATAAATTGCGAAATGTTTTAATTTCATTATACTAACTAGTCATAATTGAAACTAGTATTTCTGCCACAGAAATGGAGTTTACCAGTTTAATTTTTCCGCTAACAAAAAATATTTGCAGAACTTGCCTTGTAGAATCCGATACTTCGATGTTTATGAACGTCCAAGATTTGGTTGAACATGAGATGAGTAAAGTGAAAATCATCGATATACTCGTTTTCTTAAATTGTTTAGAGGTAAATTGTATTTTTAATTAAACTAATATTTATTCTCACCAACTGCAGTTTCAACAGTTGGTGAGAATAACACCACATTATAGTGTGGCATTTCCTACATATAGCATGACATACTTGTTTCAGAACAACGATGAAGAGAACTGGCCTCAAGGAATGTGCGCGACATGTGTGTCAACCGCTTTATTAGCCTATAATTTCAAGATATCTTGCTTGAAAGTCAACTCTACTCTCTCTCAGATACTTGCCATTGAATCTTCCTCCAATTTCCAACGATCTGACATAGATTCTATTGATATTAATGTCGTGTACCAGGATCACGAGTATGACGTACCCCTTTTTAACCATCAAACATTGGATTTTGATTCAAATCTATCCTCAGATAGTAATAAAGAATTAACACCTCTACCACCAGTCACAGAAATCACATCAACGGAACAACTGCCAAGACAAGAAGGAGAAAAGAAGTATGTTTGCACAGTTTGCCCTAAATCATTCACAAGAATCTACAGCTTGAGATGTCATATGGCAAGACATGCTGAAGTGCGTAAATACCTCTGTTCTAAGTGTGGAAAAGCATTCTACACTTCAAGTGGGCTTAAGCAACATGCTATCACACATAAAGATATAGCCCAGTTTAAATGTGGCTTTTGTAATAAAATTTATAAATCAAGGCAGTCTTTGAAGGAGCATTTTCGTGTTGCGCACTCTAGTAATCGTAAGCTGTATGTTTGTGTGGCATGTGGCAAACGGTACACAGCAAGATCTAGTTTGATGATGCATGTCAAAACACACAATGGAGAGAAGCCATATGCTTGTCCATATTGCCCTAAATCCTATACAAGGTCTATTTATTTGAAGGTGCATAGTTTGGTCCATTCTGGTCAGGAAAGACCAAAGCCCTTCCTCTGCAACTACATTAATTGTGATAGGAGCTTCTCCACAAAACATTCCTTATTAGTCCACATAGCCCATGCACACTCAACTGAAAGGCCTCATAAGTGTACCATTTGTCTTAAAGGCTTTGCCACTGCTTCTGGTTTGAATGACCATCGTGAATCTCATAGCAATAGTCAACTTTATTGCGATTACTGCTCTAAGAGATTTTTTAACAAGAGAGTGCTGCAGAAACATCTGAAAAGTCATGATGTGGATGTAGATGCCAATGATAATATGATTCAGGAGACTGTGGTGGACAATGTCTTTTTTGACCAAGTGTATTAACATGTTTGTGATGTTAGTTATAAGCTATAATTTTGTAGTGTAGGTACAGTCAGCTGTGCTGAATAGTTATAGTGATTATCCCACCATTGTTAAATAGCTACCTCTGAAAATGAATAAATAAGTTGTTCAAATGACTGGTATTTATTTCACACATCCTATTTATCTTGTAGTATTTCCAGCTTCTTAATACCATTTCATTTTTCAGTCGTTACTATACTCGTGATACCAAGGCTGTTGCCAAAATTTAAAAAAGATTTCTGATAGTGATGCTCAATGAGAATGAAATAAATACCAATTGGCCTTTTAAATTATTGCCTCAATTACAATTGTATTCAGAGTGGCATGCACTATATGAATGATGGCACACTAATTACCACTAACATTAAAATTGTTCTTCCATGCTGCTTTGAACACTATTGAGATTGTAATCATGATATGGTAATTGGAACTGCCCAAAAAACTTACAATAAAGCAATGACAAAAGAGAATACTGTTCAATAACAAAAATATATTTAAGCTTGGTATTTTCCATACTATATTCTTTCAAATTAACCTATCCTATCAAAACTAGTTGAAGTTTGCTTCAATATCAAGACTGCAACAATAAAAAAAAATTTTAGTTTTTAAATTTATCTAGCACAGATGACCCAGTGAATAAAGGGGTCCCAGGTGCAATCCCGGTAGTAACAATTAGGGAAACGAATTATTGTAAAGTGGTTCTAGCTTAGAGGATGGAAGGTTCTAGCATGGGTGTCGTAGATTCCTCATAGCCAATGGTTGGCATAGGGTGTTCCAAGTCAGTAGATAAATACCTATTACTAGTGTTTATTTGGTCTGTGGTCTATACATATATGTATAGTATGTACAAGGAGTAACATGCGGGTTATGAGCCTTCAGCTCGCCTTCTTATCCGGTGGCGCCGTTAAGACCATCATCGAGAAAATTGGGAAGGCTCTGTGGAACGACTTGGTGGTAGCAAGTGTCCGCGGTTGAATAATAGTTTTTCGGGTTTATTTCGTGTTCTAATCACTGTTGTGTTTTAGATCCACTGTGTATTTGTTCGTGAACATTATTGTGTAAGTACTACTAACAGAATTCCCTAAAATGCTCTCGGAACCTACCGAACCCCCTGACCCCGGTGGTGGGTTTGTATTAAATGATGGATCCCCTCTCCCACCCATCCAAATGCTAATCGATTCCCAATCCCGGAAAAGGGCCCTCAACAATGAGGACTCCCTTCCACCCAAAAAATCATTTACTGCGTCCCATTCCATTCAAACCACATTCATACGTCCCGACTTCGAAACTGTGAAATCGTCTTACTCGAATACAGATATTGCTCCTTTCGTAATTAATATCCAACGAATAGAAAGCGACCAATCCTCGGGTATCCATACGTGCCATTAATTTTGGGCACTTCTTGTCTAAGAATAATATCCTTGGAGTTGTTAGGAACATAGTAAAGAGAGTTGGCCGAAATCAGTTTGCTGTTGAATTTGACTCTGCTCATCATGCAAATTCTTGCCTGACTCACCCTGCCCTTGCCACAGCAAAGTATGCTGCAGTGATACCATCTTTCCATGTTACACGCATGGGAATAATTCGAAACATTTCTACAGAATGGTTTATGGAAGAAGTGGTTGAAAATATCTCTGTTCCCTCCGGTTTTGGCCGCGTTATTAAATCCCGTCGACTGAGTAGAAAATCTGCTGGCGAAAACAATTCTTCGGTAGGAATACCTACCCAGTCGGTGGTCTTGACCTTCTCTGGCCGTTCTCTACCCCCTAGAGATTTTTGTTTTTATAACAGTTTACCAGTAGAATGTTATCTCATTCCAACAATCCAGTGCAACAATTGTTGTAGCTTTGGGCACACTAAAGCCCAATGTAGGGCGAAGCGTCGGTGTTTCTAATGTGCTCAAGGCCACTCAGGTGTCAAAACCACAAAGTACTTTGTATATATGTCAAAACTGTCAGGTGACCGAATTTTCCTGCCTATCGTGCTCAGGGAATCATTGTGCCAACAACCGCATTTGCCCTGAACATCTCAGGCAACGTAATATTAAACTCATTATGTCACAGGAAATTATCTCGTATACGGAATCCTCAGCTCGTTTCCCTCAAATTAGAAAGTCATTCGCTGACACCTGCAGATTCCCCTTCACTCCTTTGTTCCAAACGTTATCCATGCCGACCCAATCCTACTCCCAAAATGTTTCTCAATCATATCGCAAAACCATTATATCGGCCCGTAAACCATCCACCACCTCTCTTATCCCCGGCTTTGACAGAACAGCTCATCTTAATATTGTCTGTGAACCCCCTTCTTCGCAACCCAAAGGATGTGGCCTGTCCCAGGACTCAGCGTCCCAAAACTATAAGCTCATAGAGCTATTGATAAATACCCTAATTAATATTATATCCCGCTTCTCAAAACAACATGCGTCAAAAACTGACTGAAATAATTTCTCGTATTTCCCTTCAAAATGGCCCAGGCTCTCCTTCAATGGAACTGTCGTAGTATCTCTAATAAAAAACTGAACTATTGTACCTTATTAATAAATACCAGCCCGTCCTCATCGCCGTTCAGGAGACATGGTTGAAGCCCGACCCTATTTTTCGAGCTCCTGGCGATGGCGATGCAGCTATGTTAGTTGCCCGTTCTATTACCTTTTCCCAAATCCCCCTTCCCCCGCACAGTGACTTCATTAGTGCAGTCGCTGTCAAGGTGAATAATATTTCCTTTTTATCTCTCTATTTACCCTACCCTCATTCTTCCATGATCCCTGAACTTTCTTCTATCTTTTATTTGATCCCTCCTCCCCTAATTATTATGGGGGATTATAATGTACACCACTCGTCATGGGGTTCATAGTATTGTGATTCAGTCTCGCCTTTATTTCTTGACCTTTTTGACACCTTTAATTTGTGTGTGCTTAATGATGGCTCTCCCACGAGACGAGTCCTTCCATCCCAAAATCCAAAGAATGCTATTGATCTTACTTTATTTTCTCCTCCTGTGTCATCTAGACTTTTCTAGTACGTCCTGCCCTATTACTCCTTAGGAAGTGACCATTTCCATATTAAAATATCATTGCTGATCCAATTCCGACTTTTTCCTCCTCTCGTCGTCTCAAATTCCAAACAGCCAAAGCAGACTGGGATACTTGGTACTTAGTACTTGGTTTAACGGGCTGGTGTCCTCAACTCGACGTTAAGGCGCCTATTTTGCGTGTGGTGGGTGCAGGGTCCTACTCGTGCCACCCAAGCTCCTCCAGGAATCTCAGCAGCCTCCTCGGTTTACTGAAGACTTCGGGGAGCGACCTTGGCACTCCAAGGTACTTTGCCCTGTAGTTGGCTACGCCGGAGCACTGTAGTAGGATGTGCGCAGCCGTTTCCTCCCCCTCCATACACGCTCTGCATAGAGGGTTGTCTGTGATACCTAAATTGAAAAGGTGTTTATTGTATGGACCATGACCCGTTAGGGCGGCAGTTAGAGTGCGAAGCTCTTGCCTTTTGAGTTTAATAAATATTCGAGATAGATTGAGCCTTGGGAGTGCTTCTCTCACCTGTCTACAGACCGTAAGGGTAGTCCATGTATTATTATGTGACGATTTTGTACCTTTGTGTATAGTTGTTCTGAACCATTGGTAGGGGAGGAACACTATGGGTTCTGGTCCTACAGCATCCGTCTCCGACCCTTTTCTGGGTAGTTCATCTGCTGCGTCATTGCCAGGTGAGCCGCTATGTCCTTTAATCCACTATAGAGTTACGTGGTTTTGTATACATACCTCCATGAGTGCTTGATGGCATTCATAAATAAGCCCTGAGTTTAAGTCATAGCTGTTCAGTGCTTGTAGTACTGACATACTGTCGGAGAGTAGAATATAATACCTATTTAAATGAAGAAGTTTTTCTCCTTCCTCCTCCCAACATGAATAACATGTCCATAATGTATGAGGAGTTCAAAAATGCCGTCCTGTCCCTTCCATGTTTAGTTATCAGTTTCCGCAAGTATTTATCTATTCACGCACCAATTCACACATCAGTGAATCTTCTGTGTTAATTACCCCTGACGTTCGTTTGTCTTTAGGAGTTAACAAGGAAACAGTCGAAACTTCACATTTTTTTAACTTCGTTCCAGACACAAAATTCCAAACTTGGCATCACATTTATAGCGATGCTTCTAAACACAATAACAATAGGAATGTTGGAATTGGAGTTTATCATTCCCAATATAATATTGTACAGAAAGTAAAGCTTTCTTCTGAGAGTTCTGTTTTCATTGGGAAATGTTTCGGGTTATACAAATCCGTTGAGTATATTCTATTGGCTAAATTAAAAAAGACAGTACCTAATATTTTCGGATTCCATGAATGCCCTTCAGGCACTTGTAAGATATCCGTTTAGATCAAAACTTATCTCTCCGGTAATTATTAATACGAGAGAGTTACTATTCAAATGTAGATTGAAGGGTTTTTCAGTAGTGTTCGCCTGGATTCCCAGTCACTCGGGAATTTTTGGCAACGAGCACGCTGACAAATTCGCCAATGATGCTATCATCTGCGGGGACATGGCTCATTACAAGATTTATAACCACGACCTGGTCACACTTCCCAAGATATTTCTTAGAAATAATTGGACTGTAGCATGGACGGAGAGCTCTCAGTTGAAAGGTAGATTTTATAACAATATCAAAAATGAACAGAGTGGCAACAAGCATTTTGACTCGTATGAGATTAGGTCACGTATGTACTCCCGTTCACCTTGCGAAATTCAATATAGTTGTTGACGATGTATGACTGCGGTGAAGTTGGTGATTTAAATCACATTTTTTTAAATTGCCTAAAATTTGATCGTTCTTCTCTTATCCAGAATTTTGTCCAATACCATGCGCCTCTTCGGGCTTCCATCCACCTTTTGTTGTTGTCCAATAACTCTTCTATATACTATATACTTATTTATCTAAATTTATTTTAGAAAATAATATAAAAATGGCAGTGCTGTAATAATAATATAATATTTATTCTTTATTTGTAGCATGTTTATTTACATTTCTCTTAATTCCTCGCCTGATTCCTTTTCACTTTTTCTCCAACTATCGAATCCCGTTTCCAAATTATATTCCATGATATTATACGTTT